CAACTGTCAAATTTGACACATTTTTCGATGATCTCACCACGTGGCATGCATTGTCTCTCTTTGGATCTCGATATTTTCCCACTAGATGGCCAAGACCTAGTGTTTTTGCAGTATTTCAACACGCTAATGTATGACGTCACCATTTCAACCATCAATGAACGCATGGAACTAAAACAAAGCTTAATATAAAGGAAAAGCTGGAGAGGTGACGGAATTACCTACGATGTCGGAATATACCGCGTTTACCCTAGACCAGTAGAGTATCCTGGATACCAGCTTTATCATACATAAGAAATTGATTTAAATCTTAGGTAAATGAGGAAATTAAAAATGAACTGATTCTAAAAGATCTCTGGTTTGTCACTATGCCCTGGGGTAATAAGGGACACCCCTAGGTATAGTGGCAAACCAGTGCTTTTTTAGAATCAGTTCATTTTTAATTTCCTCATTTACTTAAGACTTGAACCAATTTTGAACCAATTTCTTAAGTATGATAATGCTGGTATCCAGGATACTTTACTGGTCTACTTATAGGACTCAAAAATGAACTTGAGGGAGAGTCTAAAAAAACTCTCTGCTTTGCCACTATGCGGGCCCTAGAACAGCATTTACAGTAGAGCCTTGGTTAGCAAAGGCTCCAGTTAATGAAGAAAATCATTTAACAACAAAGAAATTTGATTACATTTACCTTGCTTAGTGAAAAAATTTCATTCAACAAAAAATTACTGCATCAGTCATCAGCTCATCACAAAATTGTGCATAGAATGTCATACATAGAATTGAGCACTGGGCAACAAAGAATGAAAAATAATTACCTAAACTATGATTTATTTCTCTAAAAAAATATGGTGGTTGTCACTAAAATATTCCTTCTTGTTTCAGGTATATTTTTTACAATCTTTTTTGTTATAGTAAAATCACTCGACTTGATTAAAATTGTTTAGTTATAGTAAAATCACTCAACTCGACGCATGTTCCCAGCCTGCAGCTGCAAGGTCACCTGATTTGAGCATTTTCAATTTCTTTCTTTTTGGGATATCTAAAAGAAAGGGGTTCAGAAGTCACCCTCACACCCTACCACTACCAGTACCACAGCACAGCCAAGGGAACGGATTATTGTAGCAGAGGTTATGGGCATACCTTGCCATATGTTTGAACCTGCTGTAGGAAACTTCCGAGAATGATTCCAACAGTGTGATGCAGCTAAAAAACACCATCTTCCTGATATTGTTTTCAGAACATAGGTATTTTAAATGGTATGTTATGCTAATCTTGCGGAAAATAAACTTTCTTCATGTACCTCCATTACTCTATTATGTTGCCTCAAAACTGTTCAATCGGTTCTGCCCCGGTCCCACCCTAGCTTTATAAGCTAGCTTACACCTTTAAATTGTATATTGTAATCAATATATAACAAATAGTCAAATAGTTAAAGACTACTTATAGCCTTATAAGAATTAGCTAAGCTGCTAACTATGTATATAATGTATTGCAACACTTGATGCCTCTGTACCAAAAACATTCAATTTATTGGAACCTAATACACACTAAAGGCAACAAGTTTATATGCAATTTGTCATTCATAGTACATTTATACTAAACCATGAATAACAACACCTCAAAATAAATTAAAGACTGCCACTCAATATATATTAAATATATAAGAAAAAATAGAAAAAATCATGATATTTTTATAAAAAAAATCCAGTTGTTTAATCACATGATTTAACCATTGCCAACCCTGGCTGCTAATATGAAGCTTTCAGTGGACAAGGTTGTTGTCAATGGCATGAAATTTTTTTTTTGAGGGGGTTTTACTAGTGTTAGGTATAGAATAGAAGAAAATAGTTTTTGCTAATTAAAAAAAATATGGTACTATCATAAATAAAGGAATAACTAGTACAAATTACAGCAAACGTCATTTATTCTACATCTAGGTGCCTGGTGCATCATCTACAAATGAAGAGGAGGACTTCTGAACACCGTTAGTGCTGGATGATTACACTTTGTGTGCTTCAAGCATTTTAAAATTTTAAGTTTCATTTTGAGGGGCCCATATTATCCTGTTACCAGGGGTAATTTGGGATGCTTTTTTTTCTTTTTTCACCTTACAAATTGCATATGGAACTTTTTAGAGATGCCATATGATAGCCCTTGCAAAGAATGAGCCCAAACTCATTTATATGTTTCATGGTATGAAGTTATCAATGAAAAACCAGAAAAAGCATCCCTTTTTGCCCCATTTGACAGTATACCTACCTCTATTGCATTTGTAGGTTATCTTGTGGTACTTCAAGATAAATCAACACAATTTTTCCAAGGCAAAAACTTTCTGAGTACCAGGGTTTTCTGTTATAAAATGTAGAAACATTCTTAGTCATATTGTTTCACAGCAACATGTGTATCATTTTATTATTATTTTTAAGTCTAAAACTCTAAATATTATTTTTTAATAAGTTCTATGATTAAGTACCTTTACTGTGAATTTAGTATCAAATTCACAATAAAAACGCAAATTGCAGCTTTATAATTTGATCTCTTTCAATAAATATATAAGTATAACAGCCGAAAATGCATTAATTTGTGTTATCGTATCCATTATTTAAAAACTGGTTTTGAACTAAATTTTTTCTCTTAGACATTATTTCAATGGAAGAAGAATTAGCAGTGTTGGTTCCCAACTCTGGCAGTCACAGGTCAAAGTTAAATTCTCTATCTGAAAGCAGTGATTGGAGCAAAAATGTGACTGAAGTGCACCATGATAAGGTCCCTCATTGTGAAATTGAGTACAATTTCTCAGATTTTAGAGTGGACTCTTTCAAGGTGAGTTTAACTAATCGTGTATACATTATTTTTATTTTTGTTAGTTTTTAAATGCATTTACAACCTTTATAGCCTATTTAATTTGAGTTTTATTTCTTGCAAGCCAATATTTATTGAAGTAAATCTTTTTGTTACAGGGAATGCTACAGATGCGTAACCATAGAAATCTAACTGATGTTGTTCTTGAGATAGGACAAAACCAACTGCATGTCCACAAGATTGTTCTCGCTGCAGCAAGTCCATATTTCAAGGTTGGAACAATTAGCTCTGCCTCATAGCTATATTTTAAACCATGGCTTTATCAGACAAATATCCAAGAACTCAGACAAAGAACTGTTCTGTGTAATGATTGTTCTGAACTCATTAACAAACTAAAGTTTCAACCATTGAGCAATCTTGGTGACAATTAGAATTATTTTCATCTTATTCCTCCTAAATGGTTGACAGTGCATTCTTGCAGTGATATTTGGCATTAGAATTGAAGGAACACGTTTAGTTAATTTTTAAATGCACGTTTAGTAACACAGTAAATTTCTGGAAACATATTTGATTGGCTAAAAATTGATTGAGTGATAATTTTCTCCATGGATATTATGCAGATGATGTTGCAATGCTCAATTTATCAATCAAGTAATTTCTTGTTCCTGTTGGTCATTTAGTATATACCTATGCATTTATTAAATGATATTCAAGGTTATATAATACTGATGATATAATATTAATAAATAAATTTGGTAGTGAGTTTTATAATGTGTTCAATGATACCTATTTTTTTCTCAGGCAATGTTTACGAGTGGTATGCAAGAGAGTGCTACAGGTGTAGTGCCACTGCACGGTGTGTCTTTTGACACAATGGCGCACCTTGTTCGCTTCATGTATAGTGGGCTTGTTATTGTCAATGAACAAATTGTTTGTCAGCTTTTGCCAGCTGCTAGCATGTTTCAGGCGAGTTTGTAATATATTTGTCTCTTGAGTTTCTATCATTCTATAGTGTATTAGAAATATATAGCATTTGAACTATCCACATGTGGATTTCATGGAATCTTGAATAGCTTGAGTCTGACACAAATTGACAGTGTCATGAAATTTACAAGAATTACCGGTATTGCTAAAATATGGTTTGCAATTGACATCATTTATTTTTTGTTAATTGGAAGTTTACATCTATACAGATACGTCAAGTTGTTCAAGCATGTAGCAAGTTTTTGGAAGAGCAAATGGAAGCCAACAATGTCATTGGCATTTCAAATTTTGCTGAGCGTAATGGCTGTTCTGAACTCTACGACAAAACCATAGCCTTCGTCGAAGAAAATTTCAGTGAGGTAATTCTGTTCATCTGGTGTATCCCATCTCTACTACTACTTTATAATGAGAATTACCCACCTTGAATTCTACTTTAAATGCTCCTGATCCTTTCAAGTCAATGATATAATTGAAAAAAGTTTATATTCCTATTAAGAATGTAACTTTAGACCTACCAAGATAAGAAATTGGCTTGTATTCTGCAGATGGCTCACCATGTTGTTACTTTATCTCCTTTTGGTTTAATTATGATGAATCTTGCAAATCAGGTGTCACAATGTGAAGAATTTCTTGAGTTGTCATCTAGTCAGCTGATTGGTCTCATCAAAAAAGACACTCTGAATGTGCCTGATGAGCAAGCAGTGTACAGTGCTGTGGTACGCTGGGTGGAACATTCCCCAAAGGTTCGAGCTGAGAAGATGCAGTATGTTCTCAAGGTGTGTTTGTGTATCAAATCTTTGTGTAAAGCATCCTAAACATATAAAATACTAAACTGGTATTGTAGGAAATCTGAACCTGCATTTTAGGAGATTTAAAAACCAAATTTTCTATGAGTACTGTACTTTAAAAAAATATCAAATTTAATTTTTAAATGTTTTTAAGTAATTGTTCATACTCTGCCATATGAAAAATTTTAACCTAATAATTCTAACTTGAGCTGCAATTCTTGATCCAAGGCTCCTATTTGTGTATCAATTAAATATGCTTTTTACAAAACAAGTTTTTCAGTTCATTAGGTGCCACTACCTGCCTCCCCACTTCATATCAGAGCAGATGAGTCAGTGCACTATTGTGAAGAGTGTACCAGCTTGCCGTGAATATCTCGAGAATGTATTCAAGGTGTGTAATGATCATTAAATTTAACTCTGAAAGTTAATCTCTAGCTATAATACATAATATTGTACATATAATACATAATATTACCCACAGCTTGCATTGCATTTCCATTGAAACCTCTGTGAAACTTGAAGTAAAAGTACCTATATCAGAATTGTAAGACTCTAGTCCGGTGGTTCCCAAACTTTTTCAGGCTGGCACCAGCTTGGCTCCCCAGGGAATTCCTAGCGCCCCTCCAAAGACATAAGAATTAATAGCATCCCCCCAGATTTTAAATATTTCCAGAAAGTTATATAGTATTTCCTACTTCCTCACTGTCTCACCAGATTTTTCCACCACCCCTGGGGGGTGGTACTGTCCACTTTGGGAACCACGGCTCTAGTCAATGCTCTAAGATCTTGCATTTAATATGGACCAGAACTCATCGTGATTAGTGAAAATTGGAAAGTACTGCCAGCTTTGAATTCTCGATACATACCTAAATATTTGTGGAAGTTTTTTTTATAATCAGTGATAAGAACGAAAAAAAGGAGAGAATGACGGAAATTTACCCATCTCAAAACTTGCATACCGTCAACCGGGGTAACTCGGGACTGGCGGGGTAATTCGGGACAGTCCTCCGACACGGCGTAAAACTGTTATAGTAGCAAAACTAATTGGAATATTGCAAAACTAAAAATAGTGGCGTAAACGTCAACATTTTTCCTATCTATGTAGTATAAAAAGAGTCGAAAAATACGACATTTAGTAGCTTTGAAAAATTCCAGAAAAAAATGGTGAAAAGCACTATTTTGAAAAGTTACTTCTGCTAAGGTCTGGAGCAAAAAAAATATTCGCTGTATTAAAAAATTTTACTTGCATAAAAGTTGCACCCAGGTGTCGGCTTGAAAACGTAATTGACAGATTTTGCCTATCTCATTCATATCAATAAGGGAAAAACAAGTAAAAATCACAGAAAATGTCATTTATTCTACCTCTACATCATCTACAATGAAAGAGGAGGACTTCAGAGTACTGTTAGTAATGGATGAGTACGCTCTGCATGCTTCAAATATTTTTAAATGAAGTTTTATTCCCAGTGTCCCGAATTGCCCCATTCGACGGGGCAATTCGGGACAATCTTTTTTTGCTTCTGGCACCTTAGGAATAGCATATGGAATTTTTTTGACAATGCCATTCGATAGCCCTCGCAAAGAGCTATAAAATGAGTTTAAACTTGTTTATGAAATGTTTCATCGTAAGAAGTTATTAACAAAAAACGCTCAAAATCGTCCCGAATTACCCCGGTTGACGGTAAGTCAAACATTCACTCAAAGAAGCACTTACTACTTTGCTTTGTGTGAGAGCAAAGGACGACTAGGCTACCAGCTTGCAGGATTTGAAACTGACTAGAAGGATATAAAATTGGAGAATACTAGCCAAACAATAAAAGACACAGGTCTTGAATTGTGTTGGCGCTTGCTGCTCTCTGCACAAGTGTAGACCACCCATGCACCACAATATCTAGTTATGGTGTACATTCGTAAACAATCTACAATATTTTGAGGTCGAGGTGAATAAAACAATAACTATTCCGATCATTGCAAATGTTCAATGCAGGCCATGCTTAATGATGGGCAAATGCATAAATATGACTGTCCAGGAAGCTATTGAAATTTTCATACTTTATGAAGTTTTTTGGACGAGTTATTAGGTCTTTTTCTTCTTTTTCCCTTATTAATATTTGCTTGAATTAATATTAAAACTTTGCAATAAAGATCATGTCATCTCAATGATAGCGTGACTCCTAAAATTATTTAATTGAGCCGTATTTCATCTGATATGATTACTAGTCACCCCACAGTAGGATCTTTCAACGGTGTCTGCGCTCGTTAAATAGCATTATAGCTAAACAGCTATTTAGCAGCGCAAGGTTTCTTGTGTGTTTACAAGATAACTCCTACTATTTATAAAGTTATAGTAATTGTTTATTGAGTAACTCTCAGCTCTTTCCTTGACTGACATTTCAAAATTATTTTTTTTCTTCTTGTTTTTTTTTTAATTTATTTATTTTTCTTCTTCACCTATTTTTGAACTAAAAATTTTCACCGCAAGGAGTCATTTATTTGAACTCGCCACAGGAATTAAGCATGCATAAGCCACCGTCAGAAGAGGCTCGGCGTGCACCCAGCACAGCCTGTCTGGTCCATCTTGTGGGGGGATACGACGACCGGCGCAGCCAAGCTTCCCTGCACTGCTACCATGTCCAGAAGAACACGTGGACGGAATTGGGGCCTATGCCTGTGAGGTTGCCCTAATTTGTTAAACTCTGTTGGACTTGATTTAAGAATATTCAATCTCTTCTTTATTGTTGTTGACGTTTTGGGTAAGCTCTACTACTTGGAGTTAATGAGTTTTGAATGTTACGTTAATTCTTGCTTCAGTTTATCAACATGGCTGAGAGCTTGATATTGTTGCCAGGTAGCGCGGTCTGGTCTGGGTGCCGTGTTCCTCAGAGGTTCATTGTACGTTGTGGGTGGCAGAACTATCCACCCCATGCATCCTGTGCGTGACTTGAGCTCCCTGTCCCTGTACAATTATGCTGACAGGTATGCTGCGTGTATAGGTAGTGTGCGTGACCTGTGTTCCCTGTCCCTGTACAATTATGCTGACAGGTACGCTGCATGTATACATACTCTCAGATGAATCATCACATGACTAAAATAATTTTCTTTAGTTTCGTACAAAATTATGCACAGATCGTGGCGCGAGTGTAAGAGCTTACAGCAAAAACGCAACCGAATGGGCGTGTGTGTGCTGGACACTTTCTTGTACGCCGTCGGCGGGGTGGACGACACCGGCATGCTAGACTCTGTTGAGCGATATCAGCCTGAGGATGACACGTGAGATTCACTTGCAATTCTTGATCCTAAATTCGATAATTTATTGTTTTCAATTTTAGGTTAGTAAGATATAGAAATTTAAGTTTGCAAATAGGTTTTGTGGTGAATTATACTTTTTCTGTATTGTCTACAACATTCTTATACTGAAAGTTGTACAAACGATGCAATTCTTGTCTGATCAATTAAAAACTATAATGCAATTACTTAGTGTTAAAACTTTGTAAGATGAGTGAGATATGAATGAATATTGAGCCATTGAATATGAATACATAATGTGCAGCTGGCACAGCGTATCATCGATGAAGGAGGCGCGAGGAGCGCTGTGCTGCGTGTCGCTCAACCGACATATGTACGCCATAGGCGGCTGTGACGGCACCTCTAGGCTGGCGTCTGTCGAACGTTATGACCCCGACACCAACACCTGGACTTCTGTAGCATCTCTCTTGCAGGTGGTATTTGTATTAGTCTTGAGTTTTTCTTCAGTTCTTTATCAATTTTCTTTACGATCGCCTAGATAATACTTACCGATCGCCCTCAGTGCGCATTGTACCATAACTTTTAGGCGCCAGAAGTCCCTCAACCGCTCATTTTTTTGACATTGAAATCATGATATTTTTTTGCCTGTTGAAATTGCACCGAAGAAACGCTGATGGCTGCCGGTAAACTATGAACAGATTTTTTCGGCGAACCTCATTGGCTTGAAGAATAATTGTATGTTACAGTTCATAGAATTTCTGCCATTTGAATCATCTGAATACGTTCTTGACTAATTCGGCTACTGTATATGCTTGAGATATCTCTTAGGAACACGTTCAAAATTAATTAGGACGCACCCATTACCAGCGGTAAGGCTTCGATATAAGTTCACTATTATTGAAGGAAGCTAAATTCCTCATCGGTTGTTCTATAGGTTATTTACCAATCACTTGTTGCAGGCTCTGTAGTTTTGCTGGTGCAGTGGTTGTTATCTCCTGTAGGTGGTTGTGAACCATTTACTTGTTGGAGGCTCTAGCACTTTGACTGCGACGTGCGCCATATATGGTACACGCATGCTTGTCCCAAACTGCGATGTGCGCCATATATGGCGCACGCTTGAAAAATTTAATTTTTTAGAAAAAGCTCTTTAAAATATCAGCCAGATCATAAACTTGTGAAAAATATGATGGATAATTGACAATAATGTTTTCAAAAACCTATATGAACGTCATGCAATCGAATCATAAGAATTTTAGTAGTTGAAATGTAGCCTGAAATAATGAGTGGATATGAAAAAGAAAAAGTATTAAATAAAGGGGGTTATCTTGTTCCAATATGTTGAAAATCATTTTTTCGGTATTGGTATGGATTACAGCAGTAGAAAATCGAGTATTAGTCATTCGAAAGTTGCCTAAGCTCACACAGAAACAGAATAGCACTGTAAAAAGCAAGATAAACAGTGATACGGATTCCGAGTACTGGGCTAGCAATTGATAGTTACTTTTCTAGCTTTTAATCTCACTTTAGCACCAACTAACTTCCTTTTTTAATTCACTTGTTGCAGGCTCTAGTTTTGCTGGTGCAGTGGTTGTTATCTCCTGTAGGGGGTTGTGAACCATTCACTTGTTGCAGGCTCGTAGCGGCGCTGGTGCAGTGGTGGTCAGCAACAAGATTTACGTCGTGGGTGGCTACGATGGTTCTCGCCAAATAAGCTCAGTCGAGTGGTCAGTCTACCAATAGTTATGCATTTACTGATATAGGTATTATAACTATATATATTTATATCTGAGAAATTTATACCTAATCCTTTGAATGCTTTGCAAATTATGTTTCAAATTGAAAATGTTAATGATATGAATTAATTAATAATTTTTTTTAAACAGCGTGCTGAGTTGCAGGACGAGTTACTTTTTTCATTTGCATATTCCACTATTTATTATTTCAAATTTGCTGCATGTATATTGTTTTGAGCCACAAAATTAAAATCAAATTCGATTTTAATTTATTTTGTAGATGGAAAATGATGCTCAATAACCTCTCACCATGTTATTCTGAATTCCAATTCATTGAGGATATTCTTATAATTGCCTGCATTGTCACTTCTTTTAGCATTATTTGAGATTGGATTGAAATTCATTAGTGAATAAATGTTAAATAATAATAGAATCAAAGGAAAATAAGCGCGCCAACAGAAATTAAATAACGAGAATCTTCTGGAGAGTTTATTCTTATTGATAATGAAAAATAAATCTAAATAAACGAAAGTTTGAATGCTACTTGGATGCTTGTATCCACAAGTATTGTACTAACCACAATAAGTTCGCCTAGTTCCTGACGCATGTCTTGTATCCCCGAGATCAGCTACGACCCAGAGACCGACTCATGGACCTCCCTCGCCTCCATGCTCGAGTGCCGCTCAGCGCTCGCCGTCGCCGCGTCCCTCACCACCATCTATGCAATGGGTGCGTCGCTCATGGCTCTTCATATACACTTCCTGACATTTTCATTTCGTTTCCATTGACATAGCGTTGCTTTACTTTTTTAATTTAAAAGTGACAATATGACAGTGTTAAATAATTAAATTATTTATTAAATAAGAATAAATATATTATTTATTATTATTTGATGAAAAAGGATACGTTTGACAAGACTCGCAGCTTCGTTCTGTTTGAGGCGGGTTAATGTCATATCAAGGAGTCACATTCTTTTTATATTAGTTTATTATTTGGCCCGAGTCCGAGTCCGTTTTAAGGCAGTTTTGACTAAATTTTCTAACATTTGAAGATTTCTGTTGAATATATATTTTTTAAGTTCTTGTTCAATTTACTACGTTTTAATTTGCGCCTTACTTATGTTCTGCTACTTCAACACTTGTTGGTGTAGGTTCTAATACTTCTAATTATGAGACTGATTGCAATAAATACAAATGACTTCTATAGTTAGGCTCTTAGCGATCAGATTAGCTAAACTGTAACCAGATTAAACATCATAGAAAAAGTACACGAAAGCTCTGACCTCATCACTAGGCATTTTTTTCTAAGGTGGGTTTGACGGTAGTCAAGTTCTGTCGTCAACTGAGGTGTACGACGTCCTGGAAGATAAATGGTCCGCAAGTTCGCCGATGCCTTGGGGCAGATCAGGGCACGCCCTAGCCGTGCCTTCCTGCCTCGCTGTGTCGCCGAGGTTCATAAAGAAGACATTGGTGTGAGGCAGCTTCAATATCACAGTTACTCTATATATGCGTTGCTGATTGGCAAGAAGTTGCTATGCGAAAATTGGCATTAGGCAAGGATGTGGTAACTTTGGTTGTTAGCTTATTAGTATCGCTGAGTTTGACAATAAACCGTGTCGTAGTTTGACAATAGAATGTGTCAAAGTTTGACAATAGAATACGTCAAAGTTTGAGAATAGAATGCGTCAAAGTTTGAGAGTAGAATGCCTCGAAGTTTGACTATAGAATGCGTCAAAGTTTGACTATAGAATGCCTCAAAGTTATAGTATAAAGTTACAGTATAATGCGTCAAAAATTGACAATAGAATGTGTCACAGAGTTTGACAATAGAACGTGTTGCAGAGTTTGACAATAGAACATGTTGCAGTGTTTGACAATAGAACGTGTTGCTGAGTTTGACAATAGAACGTGTCACAGGGTTCGACAATAGAGCGTGTCACAGAGTTTGACAATAGAACGTGTCACTGACCTTGACAATAGAACGTATCACAGAGTTTGACAATAGAACGTGTCACGGAGTTTGACAATAGAACGTGTCACAGAGTTTGACAATAGAACGTGTCAGAGAGTTTGACAATAGAACGTGTCACAGAGTTTGACAATAGAACGTGTCACTGAGTTTGATGATAGAACGTGTCACAGAGTTTTACAATAGAACGTGTCGTGTCCCAGAGTTTGACAATAGAACGTGTCACAAAGTTAGATGGCAACCCGTGTCCTGGAGCATATTACAATAGAACGATCCTGGAAAGAGTTTTTCATGAATATTTAACTTGATTCAGAGGTTAAATGTCTGTTTTAAGTGCGATGTTTTAGAAGCTTCCCTAAGCAAGTGCTGCCAGAACAGCTTGTTATGCTTTAACAGCTTGTTTTTGTATGGACCAGCTTGTTATGCTTTTCGCTATCCTCGGACTAACAGAAACATAAGCCCATTCCACGTCTAGGAAATTGTTAACGAATATATAAATATATATTTTGTGATAGTACTTTCAATTTTATAATGTTACTTATTTCATAATTATCGTGGGAAATATGTAAATGTGGTTAGGGAGCATAACTATTCTAGTCTATTTTTACAGTACCCGTATTATAGAAGTGTCAAGCTAGTCCAAGATGTAATGTGAAAAATCAAGTTCGGAAATGCTGAAAACACATTTTTACAAGGTGACAAATTTTTTCGTATTGGGTGAAGTCTTTATTTATCTCGATATTATGTTGAAAGTTAGACTGCTACTGGCATTCTCATTTTTATTTATTTCGTGCAATTACGTCCTGTTTCGGTATCGATCCGCAACCCAGAAGTTCGGTTACTTATTTGTTACTATTAATTCATTTGTAACGGTTTTTTTAACAATAAAGAAATTATATTTTTTCTTCGAGTATTTCTTCTTTGGTTTCAAATTTACATAAGGTAAAGTTATATCCCGGAGAGATGGAATGCTACTTTGAGGAAAATAACGCCAATTGCACTGTTTCACCTGGAAATTATCTAGATTCTAGTCCCACGACGTTTATTGATGTCTGTGCGATGAGTTATCAAGAGTAATGTAATCCTCGAGTTCCTCTTTACTGACGTAAAAATGTGATTTGTCATTGCAAATCCAGCCCTGCAACGCCCACCATACATTAAGGATTTTTTAAATGAATATTCTTAGCCGTTTTCCAATTTTTGTGAGAAAATATTCTGTAACTATTGTAAGCAAGATTCAAATTTTAATCTTGCATCTCAGGGGTGGTACGAGCTAACCGAGCGCCGTTACTGCGAGAGGTATTTACCGTGCTTGCTGTATCTCACTCATACTCGAAGCTAACATCGCAACGCAAGGGCACAGCAATGGATTTCGTGGCCAAACGCTGTGTAAGGTAAGCTGAACCCTCGTTTGCCCTGAGCCAGTCACTCCCGATCTACGCTAAAATTAACTTCTATAACTTCGAATTTCAGTTGTCAGCAAGAGTATACCAAAAAACACTCTCATTATAAAATAAATAAAGTGTTCATAAGCTAGAAGCAGCCACACTAAAGTTGCCGGCCTTCATTGGAACCGATATATTCTTTGAACAAATTTGAACCACATCTTTCTAGCGCAATCAAAACAGTTTGGCAGTCATCATGTGAGTATCGAACCCTACAAATCGTAGTTATGACCAGTATTTTACGGTTTTTATTGACGAGTTGCGATGTAAGTGCTGTATCTGCTGAGTGGCGATTTATGTGGCATCATATAACTTGTAGGCTGTGGAACATCTTAATATTTCTTGTCATAAAATTTATTCGATGCGTTTGCATTGATTTTGTGGCCACTAATAAAACAGAACGACTTAGTGCGCATTTTTCGACATACTCGAAACGTGAGGTTTAGTCCGATGCTTCATCTGATTATGACCCGTATCTCGAATGTTATCTTCCACTGCAATGGCGGGGCACTTCAAGCAAACAACTTCTTTGCGGGAAGTCGTCAGTAGAGCACTGCTAAAGGGCCATTCTTCCTCATGGTTGAAACCATGATTCTTCCTTATCTTGAGTGGGCTGACCGAGCAAAGCGGCTGATTTCAAGTTCGTGTGTATGACTTAATGAAGCAAATTTTTCTCATTTTTCTGTACCCTACGATAGTGGTATACCAAAAAACTAATTTCTCTAAAATTTATGAATTCTTTGCCAAAATACTAATTTTTCGGCAACTAATCCATATCGCAGTTCAGTCGTCAGGTCGTTGATTATCACGTTTTCGGATTCTACTATTTGATTGAGCTGTATTTTCGAAATTATTCAATTCACCAAAAGTTTCCTGTAGTGCACGATGTGATTTTCTGCGCAACTAGCGTTCAAGGTCAACAAGATAGAGTTGCTGGGGTATCGCAGCTGAACTGTTCATTGCTGCCAACCGAGAGCTCTGAGTGGCGAGTGGAGCCGATAGTCAGTTCACAGTTGAGCTGGCACGTTGAACGGTTGAAGACTATCAGTTGCGTACTGGCAGCGTATCGTGCGGTTCGCAGCTCCTGTTAACTCTTCTCAAACACGGTAAGTTGGACTTTTCTCCGTGTCGGGCTGTGCATTGCTATCTAAGCTGCGTTGTACGTTTCTTTTTCTTTGCGAGATGCATACGTTATCCCCTCGTATAGTTTGGTTGTACAAGAATACATTTGGATGTATTCTTAAGTTGTTGCAATCAGTTAGTTGCTACTTGCTAGTGACTTGCTACTACTGTCGGCAACACGTATGTCGCAAACGAACATGGTTGGTTCCCTATCAATTCCCACTAGAGTGACTAGACTATACTATATTGGTTCGAAATAATATTATCGTTCCGTATAGTATAAAAAATGTACGAACTTTTGCAATCGTTCTAAAAAGTTCTGGTATATTTTATTTTACAATATATAACATTTTCATTGAAATGCGGTGCTTCAAGTATATAATACGGTTACTACGTCTACGGTAGAAGCTAATGCGCCAATTACGGTAGTTAGTAGAAGCGTTAGAGTACATACGCGTTGTTGAGGCTTGAGACGATAAGAGACCTTGAAGCTGTAGTCACTACTTCAGCTGGGCTGGGCCGCTGGTAGTAGCGTGTGGAGCTAATTTCGGGAAGTGGCGACAAGTTACATTTCATCAATAAACTTAGCCTGATGCGGCAAGCAGCATAAATTCAACTTGAATTAATCTTTCTTTAATATTTTTTTAAGTGAAAGCTTTTAGAAAACACACATTCTGTAGCTTTTCGACTTTTGCCTTCAATTTGGGTGACTTTTGAGGCATTGGAATTGTGACGCAATTTTGAGTATTGGAGCAGTAAATTCTTTTTTCATAATCACAAATGGTCTTTGAAATTTGTCGCCTCTCAAGTCCTGCAATCGGAAATTACCTTTTTGTTACTATATTCACGGTATATTGTACCGAGTCTCTATATATTTAGTCGATTCGATTAGGGAATCTACACTGTAGTATCTGATAACCGATTAAGACTCCCTATTTTAAGCCTGAAAAGTATTGATTAAATAGAAGACATGGAATTAGAATCGTCATTATAGCTCCATCTACACTTTCTATTGCTTTTTATGTTCTTATCACGAATTTGTCTTACTAGCGTTAATATTTCGCCCATTGTGTGGATAGGGTTCAAAATTCAAACAAACTAATTCAGTTTTTCTCATTCAGGTTAGATTTTGAGTTTTCTACTGCCAATTGGAATTCTCACCATGTCGAAGATCGAGCCCATACGTAATCCTGCAATAAAATTCACACAGGTGAGGAATGATACCCAAGTAAATTCGATGAAACCCAAGTGAGGATATACACGAGTCTGGCAATTGCAAATTTCGTTAAGGCCCGTTTACACTAGGGGCAACACACGAGAGTCAAGTGCCTCAAAGCGCATGCAGAGGCGCTTTGCAGCCTCTGCATGCGCTTCTTGACCGATTGACGAGCTAGCGATTGACAGGGGCCATGCCTCATGCAACACAAGCGATATGTTTTTGAATGTGCTACTTCTCTAATTATGATGCCTATGCTGAGTTCTCGTTTACAAATGGCATAGTGCGCAGAATGACGGACCGCAACACATCCGAGAACAATGGCCCACAGCTCAAATTCGGTGACACCCATCCTCATTGACGTCTAGGTGGCAACTAGTGTTCAAAGCGCGCGGTCTCAAACAACCGAGTACAAAAGTAGTGTAAACGGTTGTGCGCGGTGAGGCACTGCAGCAAACGACTTAAAGCGCATGTTGTTGCCACTAGTGTAAACGGGCCTTAAGACTGAAGTATTTCCTAACTAAGCACACATCAAAATTGTTTTCTACGACGGTCAATGTAAAATAGTACTCTGCTTTAACCTCACTTAGGAAATTTGTATGAAAAAATTTGCATACGCACGTTTTTCATCTAAGAATAGCTAGTTCTACGGCTGAAAATTTGGGTGAATATGAACTTAAATCTCTAATTGTGAACCGATACTGTATGCTCTCGAAGTTCCTGTGTGCTTGTGATGTTAACTGTCGTCTGTCGGATGACCTTGCGAAATAAAGTTGACGGCTTGACGCTATGAAGAAGTGATTTCGGATTTAACCCTCTACAGCCGTATGTCACTCTCCGGAAACATAGCTTGCAACTTAAATTATACGTAAGCTATTTAGTGTAGCAACCTGGGGACGTTTGTACGAAACAGAACAATTTAAAGTTGTCGTACGTGGCGGTAACCATCAGTGCAAGTCATTTTGCGCTCACTAGAACGTATCCTTTTAAGAAGTAGGCTTGTTACAATATTGCCCCGGTTTCTCATGTCAGGCGGTAGAGAGTTGAGTAAAAATTTGATAAAATGGGTAAAAAAAGTAGAAGTTTCTTTCTTGTATTTTATTTCAATTATTGACCGGTACTTATTTTCATCAGGGATCGTACGTAGCGTCTCGGTCTTTTCACAAAGTATTCCTGCTAAAGTTCTGGTATTTATAGCCCATACGAACCACCTTGTTGTGTCTTGGATATCACTAACCTGATGTGCCTGGGCAATAACTAACTTCGTCGGGACTGGTAGCTGCTGCATCATCCGAGGCGATCGTTCAGTACTTGCGTTGACTATTGTGCAAACTCATTAATATGGGCAAAGGGAAACTTGGAAAATCCAGTTTTTTTAGATTTAATCAGATTTCAGGGAGCCGGTTAACGTGGATTTACTCAGTTTGACACTGATTGACACGAGTGGGCGCAGGTTTATAACCCTACTGCAAATGTATAACTACGAACAAAGGACTCTGTTCATGCCGTCGAGTCAACTCCCAGACGACAGCTCGAACAACCGTTTATTACACGACTGAGTGTTTTCGGGAATAATTCTTGTACCGGGATAGATAGAATTGTCGGTGTCACTGGTCTCGTTCAACTGACCGCTCTAGCTATCGTGTCAATACAAGACGTTTGGCGTCGCATATGGAGAACAATTGCACGTCACGTATTCAGAAATTGCATTTCCTGTCAGTAACGTATGGCTCTGATTTTCTTTGCTTCACTTGTAATGTATAGCGTATCCAGCTGTGACGTACGGTACCTATATTTCAAATGTGCCATTTAACTAATTGGAGTGTTCCAATAATTGTTAATTCTGAATGTTGCGGTTGCAATTAAAATATTATTGAAATTGAGAAAATTAAATCGATTTTTTTTAAATAGTAACTAATTTATATATATTGCCATTCGCAGTTGTTCATCGAAAACAAGTGGCAGAACAGCTCGGATGGCGCTACCTGCGACGTCATTAACCCGGCCACAGAAGAGCTGATTTGCAAAGTGCAGATTGGAAACGAGGTGAGAAAACGAATCAGATGAAACGTGTCTAGTAACTAGAGTGATGTTCGAACATGCCAATATTTTTACCTGTCATTTGCTTTAATGCAGTCTCATTGATTTTTAATAAAGTTGCCACTAAACTGGGTTAGATTGAGCGTTTATTCCACCTGTAGTTGAAGATTTATGATTTGGTTAAGATTTTAATTTAATGATTTTGTTTCAGTCTGACGTGAACGCTGCGGTTGCTGCCGCTCGTCGGGCGTTCCAGCCTGACGCTCCTTGGCGACTCATGGACGCATCGCAGCGAGGCAGGCTCATGGAGAAGGTACGTTTTTTTCTTTTTCTTACGTAAAATTTGATACAATCCCAAATAATTTTTTGAATGGGAGGCAAAATTTCCCAAATTCTGCCTAAAATGTCTCTTATAAAATCTCCTATTGAATCCACTTTTGAAAAGTTTTAAAATAATCGTTCGTATTTATGCAGGTAATAGGTAGGGATCAACTATTTGTCGGTCAACTTGCATCATAGTATTGGTTTAGCTTCAGTAAGTTCTATCTTCATGTCAAAATGCTCGAAGACGATGTCTAACGCCAAGGCAGGTATCACTTATTTACGCACATTATGCAAAAATTAAGAGCGAAATTTTTTAATTATGGTGCCACATGCTGTTGTTGTTAGGAATTATGTATGATATACCACAAATTTGTGGTATACTTTGAGAAGTAGCGTACAAGTTTTCTGCTAACAGCTGTGTGACCTGATCGAGCGCGACCGAACCTACCTGGCCAGTCTGGAAACGATCGACAGCGGCAAGGCCTTCAGCAACGCCTACGATGAGATGGGATACTCCGTAGACTGCCTGCGCTACTACGCGGGCTGGTGTGACAAGATCCATGGCACCACCGTGCCTTGTGGTCAGTTGGTGTAGGAACGCTATAAGTCGTATCCAGCCCTTGTAGTCGGTTGTTGTTGATTTATTAATAATCTTTCAAGCCATTGAGTTACTTGCACCTCATTCTTATAGTTACTTGATCCTTTTATCGTTATTGTGTTTTACTCAGACATTTACTGACGTCATCAGAAGCGCGGTCGTGTGCTTATCATTGTCAGAATAAATTTTGAAGTTGGATATCAGTTCCGGTAAGAGTTCAGTAATAAGTTTACAATATCCGGTAAGCGTTTGGTAATTGTGTGGTAAAAAGCTTACAATATCCGATAAAAGTTCAGTTAGTGTGTGGTAAGAAGTTTCCAATATCCGGTAAGAGTTTGGTAATAAGTTAACCCACCCTGTAACAGATGGCGAGTTCGTATGCATGACCCGACGAGAGCCTGTTGGTGTAGTGGGCCAGATCATCCCGTGGAACTATCCTCTCATGATGGTCGCCTGGAAGTTAGGTCCTGCGCTCGCTACTGGCTGCACTATCGTCCTCAAGCCCAGCGAGCTCACGCCCCTGAGTGCCCTGTACGTCGCCAGCCTCGTGGCCGAGGCGGGCTTCCCTCCAGGGGTCGTGAACATCGTCGTCGGTTACGGCGTAGGCGTCGGCACGGCCATCACCAACCACCCTGATGTTGACAAGGTGATTTCTTCGGGTTTGGTTGAAAACGAAGCCATTAGAGCAAGGTTGAGTGTTACAGGACAACAATGGATCGAGCAATTATATCTATGCATTTCTTCAATCGAATTGAATTACAAAATGATGATTCACATCACCAATAATTGAATGTTAAATTCCCTCTTTTATATAATACTTAAATTGTTATTTCAATTGTTTTTACTTCATTTTACTGAACTTATCTTTCTCCACACATTTTTTAATGTATTAAAAACATTTCAGCAATTTTTGCTCTCAGGATTTATCGCTATAAAATATTTTCTTGGTCAGAGCGTTTCATATATTTCTTAATGATTATTTCTCACACTTTATCCTTCTAGTTTTGTTCATTTTAACGATTTTTGCTCTCAGGATTTCTTGCTTTTTGTTGTTTCTTGTTAATGCCTTTTATTCATATTTTATATCAACTAGTTAGTTTTTACTTATAATCCATTTTGAGTTTGATTAATATTATTCTATATTCTATAATAATATTTAAATGAAATTGCTTTCGACGCCTGAGAATGTTTTGCCTGGCACAATCGTCATCATGGCTCGCATGTTGCATATTTTATGTTGCTATATTCTTATGCAATTATTATTGAGAGTCTGCAGTAACGCAATTCTGAGAGTTAGGGTACGCACACAGTGAAAGCAGGTTGCCAGCGTGCTGGTTACCTGCTCAGGCTGGCGCCTGAATACAGAAGCCTATTCGTACAGGTTTTCACTGTGAACACTTACATTATTATCCTATGTTCATTCTTGAGGCAGGCTGGAGCAGGTTGCCCGCGCGAGCAAACCTGCTTTCACTGTGTGCGTACCCTTACTCAAATATCTGAGAGTTATTATTGAGACTATAATCACGAATATGGATTCTCGTCTTAAGGTTGCGTTCACGGGTTCGACGGCTGTGGGTCGTGACGTCATGAGAAGCGCGGCCGTCAGCAACCTCAAGCGATGCACGTTCGAGCTCGGCGGCAAGAGCCCCCTGGTCGTGTGCGAGGACTGCCACGACTGTGAGATATATTATATGCTCAGATCTCGCTTCACTTTTGCTTTGAATTCGTTCGGAGTTGTATTTATGTAACGTTTTTTTTTATTATTTAAGAACACGGTTTATTTAGTCACTGTAATTGAACAATTTGACAACCCATTTGACTAGTTTATACGGGACATTTTATCTTGATCGCTTACCACTTTTCTTTTAATAAGCATGGTTTATTTCAGTCTGCTCATACCAATGTTATGGTCAATGAACTTCACGCACCTCGAAGAAATTTTCCAGCGAAAGTTTCATTCCAGTGGACGAGGCAGTGAAGATCAGCCACAACGCCATTTTCGGCAACCACGGGCAGAACTGCTGTGCCGGCTCCCGCACCTTCGTGCACGAGTCCATCTACGACGAGTTCGTCAAGAAGGCCACGGAGCTCGCGAAGAAGCGCGTGCTGGGAGACCCGTTCGCTGCTGACACGCAACAAGGGCCGCAAGTGAGGCGAATATTACTGAAATACATTTGGTTGTAGTCTGCAGTATTTTTCCGCATTAATTGCATTAATTTAATATAATTAAATTTATTAAAGTAACAACTACTACCGCAAGTGCAGCAATTTGTCTGTTTTACCTTAAGTCGTTCCCCGTTTTAGACTATTTTTTAAATTTAATAGTGTTCCTCTGCTAATATTAACGTCTTACTACAATGCACGTAGAGTAAGACTGGTAAAAATCTTATCGCCTTAACTCGATAGTTGCCTATTTATATTATAATAACTAACCTCGTGATTGTATTCTGTTTCGCATTCTGTTCATTATGCCGGTATTTTTATTTTAGAGAAATAATCTTGATTTCAGGTCAGCCAAGTTCAGATGAACCGAATCCTGAAGTACATTGACTCGGGCGTGCGTGATGGCGCCAAGGTGGAGTTCGGAGGTGCTCGCTGGGGGAACAAGGGCTTCTTCGTCTCACCCACCGTCTTCAGTGGCGTCACTGATGACATGACCATCGCTAAAGAAGAGGTACGGCCATCCTCATGAGCATTTCTTATGTGTGTTGGGTTATTACAGTGATGCTTAGAGATCCGAACTTCATGAAGTGTACTGGCATCAATTGTTTATTTGTTCAATTTGATGGCTAGAACCAAGCGCTTGTATGACGGGAAATAATAGGAATGCAAAGCATATCTTTTATTGGCTTGATAGGAGTAGTCTTTATTTTGAACAATACTGATTAGTAATCTATACAGGACTTGCTTTGAAGAATACTCAAGGAATTATTTTGCATTTGACTTTTGTTTAGCGTCGGTTTACGTTGCTAACACCATTCTTGAGTAAATCCCAATTTTCCTCATTAAATCTATGTAATTATTCCTAGATAAGAGTTGTATGCAAATATCTGTCAACTCGCCGAATTTATAATTATTTTAACATAAATAATGAACTTAGGATTTGAGATCCAGGTTGCCATTTTTATTCTCCACACTCGTATCTTGGTGCTTCATCCCGTGCTTAACATGCACGCATCCTACAGATCTTCGGACCCGTCCAGTCTATCCTGAAGTACTCCTCCTTCGATGACGTCATCCGACGCGCCAACGCCACGAGCTACGGCCTCGCCTCCGGTATCCTTACAAAGGACATCACTAAAGCGCTCTACTTCGCCAAGAGGATCCAAGCAGGCAGTGTCTGGTGAGCTTTATTTATTGTTTCATTTGAGAACTGTTCTGATGATTTAGTTCAATATGAGCGACTATGATGTCGAGGCCAAATCTGTTAGCGAGATTTGTTATCAATATTTTGCGCTATATTTTTCGTGTCCCTTTTCTAATCATTCGAATATATTTTTCAATACCTCAACATAATTGTAATATTACGTACAAAGTGATCTGTTATTATTAATATCACTGCTAAACGTAATTAAAAACAATTTTAAGTGTTATTTTAAATAATAAATGTCCAGCTCGGAACGTTTTCCAGGGTGAACTGTTATGACGCTGTTCTAACACAAACGCCGTTCGGTGGCTTCAAACAGTCTGGTCACGGAAGAGAACTGTAAGTAGCGCGCACACATTCTTCGACAAGTTTTTATTTATTTCGATTGTGTAAAATCTATTTGGCAATCAAATTATATTCTGTTTTGCTCATAATTCTTTTGCATCAACTTATCTTTACGTCTGGCAGGGGAGAGTCTGGCTTGGACGAATACTTGGAAGACAAAACCATAACGATCAAGGTAAGCACCATAAAACCTTGGACAAACTTCAACGTAATAAGTGGCCAATTGAACATAATTCAGTTTTTTTCATTTAAAAGGGATGAAGCTACCATTCTTAAATTATTTGTAATAATAAATCCGCTCGTGCAAGTGATCCCCTTGAGAGTATCAAGATGAAAAATAATTTAATAATATTAATGAGCTAAGTTTTAAAGAATTTAGTAATAATTTGATTTTTTGAATCCTTGCTTCGTCCTACTTAATTTCTTCAAATACTACACAAAGTACATCAAATTGTATACTTGGAACAAACGTGTATCTGCACAGGCAATTTTTTAGCGCGTTTGAAATTGTCGTTGATTGCGATGTCGTGTAGTTTATTTAGGGAAATGTGTAACGTCATCGGATTGTGTTGCACAGGTACCAGCCAAGTTGTAAGACGTGAGGCGAGACCAGAAGAATGAGACCGGGGCGTCCAAGTACTGTCAAATAAAGCATCATTGCACGGCGTTGGCCAAGTTGTTCAAAATAAAATTTGAAAATGAGATTTCATTTATTACTAATCTCTGATAGTAAGCATATTGGAATAAATAACAATTTGCAGAAAGAAACCACATTAACATTTTCCGGTATATTTAATGGATACTTTTCGCTGTACACTACGGCTATCTAAATTGGGTTGTCTAATACACCGTGGAAGAGAAACCGACTGTAAGCAGTACACCATGAATCTCCGACAAGGAAGAAAATTGAATCTGATTGATGAATGAAGCCAAATTTGATGGCACCCGTCGGGAGCTCGTAAAACCGCACGGTGCAACTAGAGAGTATGTAAGATGATGCACATTACTCGCTATTCTACGAAGTGTTAAAGCTATTCTAAGTCAATCTACTTCATTAACCCTACGGTGAGTTAGTCAACTTCAGAATAAATATTTACACAATAAATAATTAAGTCATAATTTAACAGAATTGTTCAATGAACAAATAATTTTCACGTTTCGTGATCAATGGTTGCAAGTAACAGAAATCTGATCAAAGAAGGTTCTCTAGCATCTTGCTCAGCGCTACAAATAAAGCTAATTTGCGACGCATAGATACGAAATACAAACTTCAAATAAACAGTGCATAACTTACACCTTATAAAAACCTGTCGTCTATCTGCACGAGTAGCGAATGAGTTCAAGCAAAGTCCATTAAATCTTTCTTCAACATAACGATGTTTCTGACCTCGGTAATGCATCTTTCAAAAGCAGTGCAGTTGAATGAATGTCAGCACTTTTGGTAATGTAATAGTAATGTAACTAAATTTTTTTGGTAATTTCACTAAAATTTGAAGGGCCGAAAAATTATCGTTAGTATTCAACGAAGATAGGTAGCAGTCAATTTGTGCAAGAGTAGCAGTTAAAAAAAAAAAAACGACTGCATTTTCCTTCAGCTTAGTATCAAGCCAATAGCCTTCAGCTGCATGCACCGGTCTAGACAATTAACATTGCTTTCCTACGTCAAATAGGGCAGTTTTCAGAGCCTGAAATAATAAATTCAAATCCTCACCTCGAATTTAGAAAAAAAAACGAAATACATAAAAAATTAACGGACAAATACATAAGTTTTATAAACCAACTACCACAACCGCGGGACGCTCACGAGATGTGCTACAGGTGGCTTTAATAACACATTGAACTTCTCTCGATTGGAAAGAAATAACTCTTGCCTATATCAAGCCGAAAAATGGCTAAGCAATGGATATGACTTATAAAATTAGAATAGCGCGTGAATTTATGCCAATAATGGCACCTAATTTCAAAGAGCTCTTTAGTGTGTAAGAAGTAGTGAATTTTTCAAGCGGTATTCGAGATACACGACCATTGAATGATTTAAGGTTGTCATGAATGTCAGATCAAATTTAGGAGTTACCAAGAACTCTGAGAAAATGAAGTTGAATTCGTGTGCTGTCGACAAGGATAGTCATATTGCCCTAATATTTCTCCTACTAGGAGGATATCTAGAGAAAATTACATGGAACAAATCAATCCTATTTACTTTTCGACCCTGAAAACGAAAAACAAAATCGTAATTCAAGAATCTCTTATTCAAAAATGCAAACGCAATCAGTACAATTCGAACAAAAACATTGGTATCTCATTTCCAGAAGCGTCCAAAAAAAGTCCTCAACATGGCGATATCCAACTAATCTTCCTTAAATTAGCTAGGATTTTTTCGACATTAACTCGCTCATCGTGAAACTTCCGTTCACAGACGACCGCGTAAGAACAGAAACAAATAATTTTTTAGAACAGAAATAATAATTAAAGCTACATTTGGAAAAATATGCCTTATAATAACATTAATTTCGGCCCAGCGACTTACAAATCACATGTGTTTCATAGTCCAAACGAGTCAATTTATCGTTCGAAATTACTTGTCCTCTTAAATGCCAGAACATGTTAAATTCCAGAAAACGACATCGCTCTAAAACTGTAAACGAACGAGTTATTAGCATCCATCCGCTAATATTCTGTTATGCAGCTAATAAATAATGCAGAGTCAGTTTATTAACTTTTAATGGAGAGATAAAACGCCAAAATTCAACGCAGAGCAGGCTTAGTTAGATATTTATTAATGAGGTGCGCTGACCTCCGACATAACAAAACTTAACTTCCTCGCTAAATGAGAGAAATGAGGAACCATAATATGAGCTAATCTCGCCTGCGTCTATACCGCACAATGCTTCCAGAACATTCATTTATAGTATAACAGGTTCAAGTTCCAAAAGCTTATCTGGAAGGTCCATTCGTACACATAGCCTATCGTACCATCAAAATATACAGTGAAATCTGTTTAAAAATTCGCTGACATGTAAATAGATCGGAAGACGAAACGATTCATAAAAAATGTCAGCAATTTAACAAAATTGATCAAAATAGAGCTGCCACAATCTTATCAACTTAGGGCCATAATTTTCGCACATTAAAACGATGGTTTGACACAGCAATACGCTACAGAAGACGATGAGCTTAGTTTACTCCAAAACTACCTACTAACGGTTTACATCCTATAATCAAATTAAATCTTCGACAAATTTTTAGACAACTTCTTGAATTATGGCTCGTATGGCGAGAACAGGAACCAAATTAGAGCAATTCGATGATCATGAATGTGGATGAAATTACGAAGAGAATTCTTAATAAATTTATGCCTGAACATTCGTTGTAAATAATTGAAAAATACATTATAATGCAGAATTCGTGAAGGCGATGGTCGTCATTCCTATTTCCAAAGGTCGATTTTGGTCATCATTTTGCCACCAGCTTCGCCAGAATCAAATCATCAGTAAAAGAACATTAAAAAATAAATTGGTTGAAAATATTAACATTAATAAATCTACGGTGCCTACCAGAGACACGCGCATTTTTCAGACCTGAGGCCTCTTAACATCTATAATATAGCGCAGAATCTCAACATCGTGATCAGGATGGAAGTCCTCATATATACAACATGAATAAGTTTTAAACACAAACATTTAGTTGCTCATTGGGTCAACACTCGGCATGACCTCACAAGGTAAGGTCTCTTCCGGTCATCACCCTTGAGGGCCAAACATACAGTATAAACATGAAAGCTTAATTTCAGAATCTAATTTTCCTTTATTAAGGATGAAGGAATTTGAGAGTACGAGAGATGAACCTTATAGTGAGTGCCAGCGCCGGAAATTTTAATTGGTCAGAATAAGCAAGGCGAGCTTCCATGTCAACATCTACGCCATTATGTTATTGCATGTCAATCAAAATAAACATAACACGACCAATATGTACGGTATTAGTTTTTAAATAGTTGGATTGAAGGTCCTTCAAAAGTCCGAAATAGTTAACGAGGAACCAATAAACGGCACATAATCATTCTCATGCCGAATTCAAACAGTAACCATTAAGCAGCCATGAATTAAATTTTTAATAATTGTCGTAATTTTAAACAAGAAAAAAGCATAGCACGATCCAAAATTCAACAAACGTTAAAATAATTAATAACTAAGTATTAAAAATACCAAAAATGGATCGAAGGCACAAAAATAACAGCTTCAAAAGTTGCTGCAAGAAAAGTATCATTGTTTCATTTGAGAAGCTTTTATAAGGCGATGGATGAAAAAAGGACGATATTGAAAGCAAAAACTACTTTCTTTCAGCGGGTAATATAGAAGCCACTGATCACATTAACGAAGAATAACATACTACATCACCATCATGAAGACCCGTACGTGGATCCCAGGCGACGACGCTTGAGGTTTTAAATTAATTCTATTCTAACACCGGGGATATACTAAGCCAACATTTGTGTTTGCTCTACATTTCCAAGAGAAGACATCCGATATAATTACACATAACACATGAAGAAGGAGCCGCGCTCAGAAGTTCACCAAAAAGTTCATAAATGCAGGCCAAGCAATCTACGGTCCATGACAGCAATGAAAGATACTCCACAATTGCTCACGCATCGCTCTCTTGCGCTTCATCATCATCATCGTCATCAGGACTATTGTCGCCCATCTCTTCGCCGTCATCATTCATTTCTACATCATTGTTATCACTATCATCATCATCATTTGCCTCATTATCCTCATCATCATCATTTGCCTCATTATCCTCATCATCATCATTCGCCTCACGATCCTCGTCATCATTTGTCTCATTATCCTCATCATCATCATTTGCCTCATCATCTTCCTCATCATCATCATTTGCCTCATCATCTTCCTCATCATCATCATTCTCATCCTCTTCGGCATCTTTATTTTTGTCGCCACCATCACTCTCATCCTCTTCTTCGTCTTTAGTCTCACCCTCTTCCTCATTATTTTCATCATCTTCATTCTCGTCGCTAGCGTCATCAGCTTCCTCATCACTATCATCAGACCGTTCATTATCCTTATCATCATCCTCATGGCTACCATCGTCGTCACTCCTTGCATCCTTGTGTTCCTCCTCGTCTTCTACGTCCTGGTCATCGTCCTCTGGCGTTTGACTTTCGTCGAAGTCATACTCGTCGTATTTCTTTTTCTTTGCAGAATACTTAGCCCTGCTTCGCGCAGCAGTCGCAGCACTGGAAGAGTTTCTTCCAGCATTACTCTCAGCCCTGTAAAAAGAAAAAATATCAACATAATTTTAAATGCGTTAAAATTTTAATTTTAATCAAGCGTAGAGTTTATTTTTAATTAAGTGTAGGAGTTTGAGTTTCTCAGGCGTTGACTTCATTCATGTTTTGACAAATCGGTTACTGTTATAAACTATGATCAAAAACACTTTATGCCAAAATATTTCAACGGACATTGATTAGGTTTACTACTATACAATTGCTATAATTGAAAATTTATTACACATTTCCACTAAATGTTGTCATTTGCCCCGTTTTCATTCCCAAAAACAGCAATTCTTAAAATTTCCAACCAATCTACTGACAACTATCTGCTTGTTTCAGAAATCTGCTTCATCAACATAATATAATTAATACGTAACAAATGACACGTTTTCTAAGAAAGAATATTTCAAGGTAATTATGAGTCGAGGTGATGGATCACTTGTTAAGTTTGGAGGCATTCCGTTTAGCTAGAGCCGCCAGCGCCGTCTTGCTGAGGAACTGCCCCGTGCGACTGCGGGGCTTGCCGATGCTCTGCAGGCGACGTCGCTCTGCCGTCACCGCGCGACGCGCCTCCATCTCTGGCGTGTCAACTTTGACGTTGCGTGAAGCCTGCAAAACAGCCAGAACTCCTTTATATCACAAAAATCACACCTTTGAGCTTTACAAACAATGCTGATGAAGTAATTTAAGCCCTCAAAATTATAATTAACACACGCAAAACTACAGTAGTTGGTATGGTTAAAAATAAGCGAAAGACAGTTTAAAAAAAGTTCGAGGTGTGCGACATCACTGCTACAGACTAAGTGCTATGCTTGCGAGAGGACAGCATCCAGGAGTGGTACGTTTGTATTGGTGATTGCTTCAAATGAACATGCAAATGATGCAATAAATGTGAAATATCAATTAAAGAGTTACATTTACATAAGAAACAACCGTATAGGCGAAATTTATAGAAATTGTCCGGTATACATCACAACAATTATAGTTCACGAGAAAGAATTGTAGAAGCGTGAAAGTAAACAAAAAAAAAAAAAGATTTTATCAACGAGGCCTAAGAAAATCACTAACTATGACATTTCATACCCAGTCTATCAAATTTCAGTAAAAATACTCATGAGTGAACCAAACAAATTTCTTACCGAGCTAGCCTGTTCTCTGGCAGCTTTGGATCTTTTCTCGCACTCTGAGCATTTCCAGTCTTTCCTGTAAAAAGGGAACAATTAGTGGAAAATCTTTTGAAGTTTGCCAAATATGTTAACTAATGAATAACAAAATCATAGATACGTCAGGCTACCAGAGAGAGCGTAGAATTCTGAATGTTAACAATTTACATCCCAATTTATTAAAAAAATTTGTCCACTCGTCATTCAACGTCTTGAATGCATCAAGGAAAAAAAGGTTCCATTGCTGAAAATTAATTAAATTATAGTACTGGATAATAAATTAAGAGATACGCAATGAAATCATAAAGTAAGAAAATACGACATTTTATTTAATATACAACACGCGCAGATGATAGGCAAACCTCGCTCGTGTGAGTGGAGGAGGATCATGACACTCAGAGTGATAAGCAGAGCAGCACACACTGCAGAAAATGAGCCCCAAGCGACCGTAGCAGACACGACACTCAGGGGGATCTCCCACATGCGCGTCTGGCACCAGGGATTTGTTCGCTTTATTTCTATTGCTGCTGCGACTCTCGTCATCCTGATCCACTTCTGCCACTCGTGCGCCTCCCTAACACGGTGCAGTAAAATAACAATACAGTATATTGAATTGTCACATAAATTAGAGGAAAGAAAATGCTTCCAAAGCTACGATAGATTATAGATATCTTTATGTCTATATCGGAATCAATTTTCAAGTATGTAAAATTTTTAAACTGTTTTTTTTTTTAGATCATTCTCTTGCTTTGTTTATGGCCAACGGATTCCAGTTGAATAGTCATCATTGTTAGAAGATAGTCAGTAGTATCAATAATTCAAATATATTCAAATTTTTAAGAACATTTCAAGTTCATAAAAAACTAATGGGACAATCTGAGATGAACATAAGAAATCATTGGGACAGAGAAGACATTATTTTGACTTGGAATGGGCGAATTAAATTCTACAACGTAGAAAGCAATGGCCTTAGAAACTCTATCCACTTGCGCCTTAATAATTTCAAACTTCGATAACAGGTACATAGAAAACAGCAGAAACTCAGATTTCAAGGGCTGAAAATAACAGCGCAACGGGAAAGTCAAGAAGGACCTAAGCAAATAGCGACCTTAGTGCGAGTAGGAGAGCGCGGCTGAAGGAGGCAAGCGTGGCAGTACCACAGGGCCGGGGGGTCGTCCGTAAGTTTGGGGCGCAGGCATGTCCAGTGGTAACTTTTCTCGCACTTCTCGCACAGAATGAGAGGAGACGTCTCTTTGTCCTTACTCCGACACACCGTGCATTTCTGAGTAAAAAGCCACATGCAGATACTATATCATTCTATATTATTATTAAGAATGGGAGAAAATAGAACATGAATATCGACTCATCTAGATGAAAATAACATCAGTGGCTGAGAACCGAATTTACTTGCCTGCTGTGAATATAAAATGTTGCAATGAAAAAGACCTATTCAGATGTCTTAAACAATACATGTGAACGAGTCACTCTCGGCCTGTGAGATCAATAAAATCAAATAAACGGTGACTCAATTACCTTGGTGGCGAGCGATCGCTCCCACTTAATGCAACTGTCAAACATTCCAACCAAGACATGGAGGCGAGAGTACGTCTTGCACGACTCGACGGCTTCACGCCATTTGAGCACCCCGCTGCCCTCCACTTCAATGTACTCTGTGACATATCAACACACAAGAACTAGTAAACAATTTACTACATAAATAGGACACGTAATCAAGAAAAAGTGACAGGGATGAGAAATGAATTGTTTAGATACTTTCATTTAGGAGTGATCACAACGTATGATGGCTTTTCTTAACACGTTGACTACGATTGCTTCATCTTGTACTATTATTTCATTTTTAGTACCGTTTTTGAACAGTTTTGCCAGACGGTCATTTTTTTTCGGACAAATTCCTTGATTTAGTTTTTCTCAATTGCGTTGGCCGGCTAAAATTTATTATAGGGGTACTTCCTAATTAAATTTTAAATACTGTAAAAAGAAAATAAATGGAATTTTTGTAGCAGAAGCTACAAATAAATTGGTATATATTGAGTTATCGGCCTTTTTTTTGCCATTTTTGTTCTCGGATTTGACCGATTTTAGGCAACCTGAAATATGTACCACTACGTTCTGGAGAAATACATTTCGTGGTACGCATATGTACCAATACGTAGTCAACGTGTTAACCAAACAGCTGCCCATTAAGAAGAGCGTGCGTTTGTCCTGATGTAAGTAATGTTTGGTAGAATAAGATGTTGGAAATTTAACCTCAGCATATATGCACACTGTTTAACTTGAAAGAGTCAACGTGTTAAGAAATAAAGCTCCCACATACAAAAACAAACGTATTTGACATACAAATTTATTGTTAAAGCTAGCATATAGTTAGAGATGAGATATGATATGGTTGCGGTACATGGAAATTTATCAATTGAGGTCTGACCGAACATAAATTAGGTAAGATCTTACCACTTATGTGCAAGGATCTTCCAAAAGAAATGAATGAAGAAATGATAAACGCGCAACGTTACATACGGATGGTACGCCATACTAGGAACTGCAAGCATTGTTTGAAACCTAGTTTAAAAGCCCATTATGCCATGGATAAGAAAAGACTGGTCTTATATGCGAGTGTTTTCTGCTGAAGAGGTCAGTGTAGTTTCACTTGCGATCCTGGAAGTTCTCTCTACATCTAGTTGATATAATTCTTGCTAATTTATGCAATTCAGTAGAATTCCCATTATATTAATAAAAACTCTTATAAAAATGTTAAAATAACGTATATGAGCGAAAAATTGTTGAGAATTTAAGCGTTATTATTATTTAAACTTAAAGCCACGATTAATAAATCAACAAAGTGTGTGATGCTATGAAATGGAGTGATGGTTTAGATTCTTATTATAGTTAACAAGTACCATAGTATGGTATATTGTCGCTATTGTAAGTTGAAGTATCCATTTAAATTGTCCTTATGTATAAAAATTCACGTACAACCAATTCTCAAGTCATAACCACCTTAAAGATTCCTATAACGAACTGAAATTATTATTATGAAGACTAACCTGGTTGAGGTTGTTGAGGTTTGGAAGATTCAGTAGCTTGATTTTTATGTCCATCTGTTTTCTTCTCGCCAGCAACAGCAGAACTGTCGGACTGGGTAGAATCGTCATGCACCACAGCAGAAGCAGTAGGAGCAACAGCAGCTGCAGAGGCAGTGGCTGGTAAAGGCTTCCGCGAAGGAGCCATGAAGCCCTTCAGGTTCTTCAAATGCATCGCTCGCTGAGCTTCGATCAAACTTTTACCAAGCACAGCCACGTCACTTGCCTGTGAAGAATGAATGAATAAAGCTACACGGAAAAAGCACAACCCGCGAACCCGTCTATAAAAGCGATATTATTCAAAGTAAATAAAATATTCCGATCAGTAAACACTAATGTTTTCCAGCTGTTACACAGAGCATAGCTATGGAAGGGGAAGTTCTTCCAAAGGGAAAAAGTTCCTAAGAACTTATGGAAGGGGAAGTTCTTCCCAAAACAGAAGGCCGTTGCAATTCAGGCATGGAGTGTGAAAAAATATAACTCAGTACTCACTGCAGTGAGTGACAGATAGCGCATTTTCTCGTCGACGAAAACTTGAGGTCACGGACAGACGGACGGAAAGACAGACAGACAGACGGACGGAAAGACAGACGGACGGAAAGACAGACAGACAGATGGACAGACGGACATGGCGAGCACAATAGTGCATTTTTTCCATAAATGAGAAAATGCGCTAAAACGGGGAAATTGAAACAGTTTAACACAACATTATCTGAGGAAGGAAAAAGCAGTACTACGTTAATGACTACTTACATTTTGAACAACTTTCTGCCATTTGTCGATGTCTTCAACAGCACCTAGCCATCCCTCCTTCAGCTCGAGCTCTATCTGTATGATGTCTTCCCGTAATGACAGCAACATTCGTGCGCAACAATCTTCTTCTTCTTCCACTGCTTCATCTTTAATTTTTGGCTGTTCATCTTCAGTGGCTTTGGCAACATTTTCATCCTCAATCTCAGTTTTAATTTCTTCAGTGACGCTTTGATTTGATATGCTATGTTCAAGATTCTCAGTAGCTTCTGTTTCTGTTTTGATGGCATCGTTATTGCTAGAACCTTCTTGTGCAGATAACGCAGCCAAATTCCACGAAATACGCTCACGAGCATTGATGATATTCTGCTTCAGATAATGCTCACGAACGCCATTCTCAGCAAGAGCATTGATGAGCTCGTCAATTTCTTGTTCGGTCTTATAGACAAACCAGGCGTTCTCGCCGGTCGGAGGTAACGTCTGGTTGTCAATATCCATGTCCAGCAACGATACGGCTTTAGGTCTACCTTTTGCAACTGGTATGTACAGGTCTTCTTCGGCTTCAACTTCGGTAGTTACCTCCAGTTCTGGGTTATCCTCAGATACAGGTTTAACTTCTGTGTTAGCTGGGTTGATGGAATTTATTTCTCGAGATTCATCATGTGTTTGAGTATCATCGCCTGATGTGGTCTCAGACCTCTCAACTGTGCTATCGTCTACAGGAGGGTCAACTGTGTAGGACACATAAGATCCCATGTAACATTTCTCGACATACACACCAGGTGTTGAGTTGCCGAATAGCCAATATCTGTTGTGATCACGATCGTAACCTAGAGGAGTGATGCGTAATGTGCGTCGTCGCTTCTGCAGCAATTCTTCACACTCGCGAAATCGTGCCTCTCGCATTAATTTTGTCTTCTCTTGATCTCTCAGCTCTTGTTCTCGTTTTTCTTCTTCCATTTTATCAATTGCTGACTTCCGTTTCAGGCGACAATTGATGAGAAGGTCTTTACGAGGAGACATTTCTGAACCCTGTTCTTTCCTCTCATAAAAATCGGCAATGGTCATACCAAGTCGGGGAGAATAACCTTTAGGTCTACCAGGGGGTTTCTTTGGCTTCTTTTTAGCTTTCCTTTCTTCTCGCTTCTTTTGCTTGAGCTCAATATCTTCCTTTAACCTTTCTTTCTTTAAATGAGCGCGTTCTTTATAGATTTTGGTTGCCATGTCCTCGAGTCGGTCAACATGAGCAGCGAGTGCATCGGACGCCATACAGCGATGCGTGAGAGCAGTTAGGAAGGCTACTAGTTCACTGCTAGTTAGCTCCCACAGCTCCACAGAACTCAACTTCTCAAGCAAATCTTCACTGAGCTCATCCTCTTCTTCACCCACGATCAGTAGCTCTCCATCCTCAGTCACTTCTTCAATAACAACATCATGTTTTTGGTGCTTTAGACACAGACGCGCGAGTTCAGGAGCAGTCTGATAACTAATAGGCATTTCTCGAAGAGGAATCCCAAGCTCCTTGTAGTGAGTATTAGCGGCATCATAGACAACAGTGGGTAGCATTGTGCAGAGCAGAGAGGAAATGTAAGGGTAGCCTTTCTTCCCTTGCACTACAGCCTCTAGAATCTTGTTGGTTGTAAATAAGGGCTTTTTGGAACATGAGGGCAAGTTGAATACGTCACTGAATGATTCCATGAACTCTGAGAGCATAGCAATGTTGCTGAATGAGTTTGGAGGCAAATTGTCATAAGATTTGACGGGACACGGAGTCGGCAACGGCACCAAGTTATCCAAAGTTTGATCTTCAGATTTTCGATTTAGTGCTTGTTTTTCGCGCCGTCTCTTGGTGGCAATTTCCTTAGCTTTTTCCTTCATATAAGCTTCTTTTTCATCTTGTGACATGCCTTGCATCATCTTACGTTCCTGCAATCGGTCGTAACGCACCATTAAAGCTTCTTTCATGGGTTCATCTGTTATAAGATTGATTTGAGTTAACGTAAGCTTTGTCACAGCATGGTCCATGGTGTAAACTACTTTTCTAGCAAAACCTTTATTCGTTTTTCGGTTACGGAATTCAAAGAGAAGACGTCGTACCAGAGGAATTTTCATCACAGTCTCTGAAGTGTGAACTTTCTTAACGGGGGACTTCGTTGCGGTTGGCGAGGCGACTGGCGAAGGAGACTTGACAGGCGACTGTTCACGCTGATGGGAAGAACTGGCGGCAGGGTATTTGGTCCCATGTGGAGAGCTCGTAACGCCGAGATTCTGGAAAACTTCTGCCATTTGTTTCTGTAGAATTCTTTTGCGAGCTCTTTCCTCATCAGTCATGGGCGGACGACCTCTCTTCTTGCGTGGCTGACCATCAGGGCCAACAACAATGTTGCGCCCAGGTATAATTGAGTGAGTTTTAGGCGTATTCAAAAGCGATTGCGTGCTACTATTGATGGAAGAAAATGACGGATTTAGGCTCGAACTTTGAGACAATAGACTGTTTGATAACAACGATTGATAAAGAGGGGAAAAAGCATTAAGATGAGGACTAAAGATTCCTTGAGATAAATGAGGGGAGTTAAAAATATGAGGTAAGCTGGCAGCTTGCGATGCTAAATGACTGAGAAGAGGGTGAGCAAAAGGAGCCTGAGGTGCAGGCAAGATAGGGTGGCTTGAATGAGACCCAAACTGGCGAAGACCTAATAATAAATATTCGGGAGATTCTTCAGGCTTTTGTGCAGCTGCAACTTCTCCGACAAATTCAATATCATCTTCTGATGCATTCGACTTTTCTTCAAAGACTCCATTTGATAGGTTTGTGACATTAGTTGATGAGCATGAATCAGCCTTCTTCTCTAATGAACTAGGAGCTTCTTGAGTAATGTGATTGGCTTCATGGACGAAAGTTGTCACACTGCCACCATTGCTGGGATTTTCACACTCTTGAGAAACTTTGGCAATCTTAGGGGGCTTGTGATTGGCATCAGCAACTGGAGCTTTCCTCTTGATACTTGAGGAACCAGAGCTTGAAAAAAGAGGAGAGAATTTTTTCGGGATGTCATACTTAGTAACAAGATCCTCACTCACAACCCAAGGACTGTGTGAACTGCTCTTGGGACGAAAGGAGTTAGCCCGGATGAATAGACGCAAGCTGTCTTTCGAGGGTGGTTTTCCTTTGCGGCTGAGATATGAAAAAGCAAGAAAACAAATTAGTGATACATGTACTTGCAAATACTTTTCTTTTATAGGACATACATTATAAAGGGAATTAAATAAAATTAACCAGTGAAATGCTCAAAAGATTTGGAAAAACTCTCACTTACAAAATTTAACAGAAAAAATAATAATAAACATTGCAACTCACTGTAAGTGAGCCACATCAATTTCTGGAATAATTCTTCGTTCCAGGCCTTCCTGGATAATTTCTACATCATAAACGCGATCACTCTGAAGTTTGTTCTTCTGTTTTGGGGACTTGTCTGGAGATGCTCTTCCATGTCTCTCAGAACCATTGCTCTCTAGACCATTGATGAGTGCTGCATGTGGAGCCTCAGCCACACAGCCGTTGACTTCTCCTGACTCTCCTTCATAATGATGACTTGAACAGGCTGGAGTATCAATCAAGATTTCTTTTTGAGCCACTTTGGAGGATAAAACCCGGACTTTTATTCTGAAATAAAGTACAGTATAGTTAGACAGTGCAACATTTTAATACAAAAACTCACTTAAAGCATATTAATAGGCTAAGGTTAAAACACACTCGACTTGAACATTAAGTAGCAATCCCTTAGGAGAAGAAGAAATAAGATGTACAAACTGGAAGACTTGGTGACTCAAATTATTAGGGTTGTGATGTAATGAATAAAAACAGACTTGAGCATCATCAATATGGGGATATTTGTATTCCATGCATTAAAGACCCAAACACAATAGACTTGAGTTCATAACTAACTTACAATAAGGTAAGTTGGACCTACCAGCTAGTAACTAAAAATTAACAAATATTGGTGAACTTGTTCATACGATATTCCTCGTCTGTATGGTTCTTACCAGTACAGCTTAAAAATTACTTTTATTCAAATGAATAGTATTCTTTATATTTTTATTGCATCTCAAGCAATTTAGATAGGTAATTTTCCTAGGCTTGGTTTGTTCAAAAAGCCTATTAAGTTAAATGTATGTTAGATTTTGCTAATTGAATGAAATAAAATTTAAATTTCTGTCAAACTTACGGTTTGGCTTTTGGTTCATCTGGCTTGTATTCGATTTCTTCCCCAGGGTGGAACATGCTGTAGCAGCAATTGGAGGCTGACTCCACTAGCTGCTCCAAAGAACATGTTGAGTGATGAACAAGACTCAGAACTGGTCCTCTGAAAGGTTCGGGCACCTGCGTCTGTAGCAGCACTCGCACCTTGGCCTCACTAGTCCAGGCATCCTGGTGGCTCATGTTGCTGTGTCCAGTGCACTGGCATGTCCATATATTCTGACTATACAGTGCCAATCGATCTTCATAGTCACTGGAAATAAATAATAGAATTTAGTGCTAGTATCTTTCTAATTATTCAGTTTTTTTTGCTACCAAAATTCTTTGTAGTATTCAATCTTACTTATCACAGTATGCTGTCAGGAGGCCAACTGAAGCATTTCTCCAAGGTAGCAAGCTTAGTTAGCTTACCATAAGAATTGTTTATGAATATGTTGGCAGACACTTTAGCCTTTTTCTCCGTAAATGAGAAAATGGACTAAAAAGCATTTGTGCAATTCCTATAAAATGAACCAACAAGAATGGGTAATAGGTACTTATTTGAATATTGGTAAATTAAGCAAACAGAAGTAGCACCATTGAGAAAACCAATTTCAGAGATATTTTTAAAACTAAATGGAGACATAAACCCAAAAAATAGGGGTTTAAAGTGGGTTGTATATATAAATACAATTATAATGGTGACATTACATCACCTCATCAGAGGAAGCCTGACATAGATCAAAGTCTCCATTAAGACCCCCTCTCGCAGATGGGAATCATATGCTCATTTAGCTTAGATGCAAATGCATACTTTATGAACAACAGGACCTGGAATTGTCCGATGGCATGGGGAAGTCCCTCCAAATATTTCTTTAATATAGAAGTTTATAGTATAGGTCTCCAGAAGATTTAATTGGATTCTCTGGCAAATTACTTGGATTCTCTGGCAACAAACTAAAACAATCTAGTAATGTGTTAAACAATGTTCTTTCCAATTAAATGCAAACCTGCAAAATATATAATTTAGCAGCAACTAAAAATGTCTTTGATCACATTGGGCTCTCTCAGCAACTCTGAGACAATTGAAGGGCTGAATAATTTGAAGCTCCAAGCATCATTGGATCCAACTAGACATTTTTTTTAAACCAGTTCATTTCTAAAGGTCAGCTTCAATATTTTGATTATCTTATCCATGTTAGCTAATGCTAGTATCCATGATACTAACTGGTCTGCTTATAGGACTCTGACTCAATAGGGAAGGTGACTGAAGGTCTCATTTACCACTATGGCCGAGAGCAAAAGATGATTAAAGGAATTAATTAACAGAATTACAATATAATTAATTTGAAATTAAATTGCAGGTCCATATGAGTTTATAAATAATAGAAACATGGATTAGGTGTTAATGTAAATATTAGAAAAAATGTAATTCATGAGATTTATTTACTGAGGAAATCATTGGTTTTGCCAGAACAGAGAAATTGAGCAAAAAATAAAAAAAAAATCAAGAGAGAAAATATTCATCATTATTTGCACTTCACAGTACCTACCTAGTATTACAGATGCAAAAATTTTGCAGTAAAATTAGTCATCACACAACCAACAGCAAAAATTATCTTCAGACATCAAATGATTATCAAACAAACGAAAAAATAAACATAAAAAAGTTAATTGAGAAGTTTCAGCAGTTCCTGCAGGCTGCCTCAGCTGCCTGACGTACCTAGCACCAACATTGTAAGGAGCCGGGTAAGAGAGTAAAGAGACATCACATGGCTAGTCTAGGCTAGAGCTTCGATGCATAGGCTTTAAATGTTTACAACACGAACATTCCATCAGATAACATCACAATATAAATCTTTGAAGCAGAGAAACGCTCGGCGACGAAACGCGGCTGACGCCGAAGCCACGGACCTCGATAGATTACTGTTTAGTCATCTCCATTTTGTGCGATCGTTCACAACACAATCTTGTGGAATATTAAAGCATAACTTAAAACGTCATAATTAAACCGCAATAAATCTGCTGAAAGTCGAAATTAAATGCTATATTTTTTAGCCACGTTTGAAGAGACCGAATGATGAAATGCGGTGCGTGCATAGTATCATAAATTAGAAATAACAGGGAATAGAAATTTCAGATCGCTCAGCAGGTCATGTACATTAACGAAAAATTGGCGGTGAACTTACCTACGATTCAAGAATTGCTCTCCGGTGTGGGGTATGGTAAAAATTGTAGCTGGATTATCAACATTTTTTGGATTTTCGATTAATTTAAATGGCTGCCCTTGTAGCAGAGGCATTGCTTCAATTATTTGAAGTCAAGAAGTTTTCACACGCGTCCGACATCCACACATGACAAGGTTCTTCACCCCACTGCAGCCGCTGCTGAGCTCTGTAGTGTATATTTCCCCCTAAACGACAACGAAAGAACATAGTTTGGGGATTTTTTAGTTTGATGAAAGAAAGTTGAGTGAAAGATGCTATACATCGCCATACAAAAATGATTATAACGCCTTTTACCTCTTCTCCAGGAATTTACCGGAAGGTATAAATGTATATTTTTTCCCGTTGGATTAAAGTTGGCTCGAAGAAGAAAGACATTAATGTTTGGAATGCAATAATGTTCTAACTTGAATCTTTTAAATCTGTCATGTAACAGGCATGAAATTTCTCCTTTATGTTATGCTAAAGAATCTAGATATTTACTAAATTTGAATGAGTCTTGGCAAATATTGTAGCCGATTATTATAACGGAGCGAAATCAAATAGTCTGTAAAGCGAGAACTTCGTTTCATTTTAATCAAGCATTTTTAAGGTGCACAACATTAAGTTATTGTCAGTTCTTAAATAAGTCCAACAACTTACAATGGAACTAACATTAGTAATGATGGAAGCGAGAAAGGGAGATAGATGCTTTGTAATTTCATACCAAAATACAAAGACTGCTTCACATGATCTCAACTATAACATGAGTAGTCAAGCTTGATATGAATAAAATACGGACTTGAGTCGTTTTTGTGGTTATTTGACAGTGGACCCGATGTCAGTGAAATTGTATACATTTGCGGAATAAATTTAGTCTATTATAGCTACAACTTTGTTTAGTATAGCCTCAATGAATATTCTTGTTAGGTTACTGACGAAAAACTTCTCAGGCATACTATAACAGAACAAGGTATGACTCGGATGCAATTAATCTTAGTGCACCGTGCACGGATAAGTACATATATCTTTGCGTTTCAGTCCAGAGGTGGGCAGTAGCGCGCTACATTTTCAGTAGCGGTAGCGACGCTACATTTAAGAAATTGTAGCGGTAGCGGCCGCTACATTTCAAAGTAGCGCTGCGCTGCCCAGCTCTGCGTATCACCATATATTTGTTACTCATAAATCCAAACATTTGACTGCACGAAGATTCTCTACATGCTGATGCAATGTATAAGTCCTTCAATATTGAATGAACTTGCTTGAATTTTGGAGTATAAGTTGATATCAATACGCGTCGATAGGATTTACTCCAGATTTTTACATAACTTAATTTTCGATTAAAACAAATAAACGCAATTTTTAAGCGTCCTAACCAGTCATAAGTCCTTCAACATTGAACAGATCTGCTGAAAATTCGGTATTTAAGTAGTTATTATCAATGCCCCCGCGATCGGTCACAAAGAATAGGTCGAGTTTGCATGTCGCCGAGACCTACCAAAGCATTGAGTTAGGAAACTCCTATGTGTATATCAGTTATTTTGTCAATACTGAACGATTTATTTCTAGATAGAAATTGTGCTTTTGATAATTACTATTGTGTTTTTAGTAATATTTTTTGTGTTTTCTAATTTAGTTTGATGTGCGCTGTAACTTTGATATGACCAGCAGATGTTTGCCATGAAACGTTTTTCCTTATCTCAAGTCCGTAGGATGTTTCCTGCCTTGGAGCCAAGCTTAAAATTTATTTAATTTGTAATGCATTTATAGTGCTGAAGTCTACTCGCGGAGCAAATTTCCAAAAGCCTACATTTCAATTACCCCAGACATCAGACATGAGATCGTGCGCTAAACTCTCATAAATATTATTGTTGCAAAGATTACAGCTACTGAACAGATGATCGAATACCGAATTTTTTTAAGAATCTCGAACATTAATTTAATACTTTTTTGCTTGAATAATATTTAATTCGTTTATATGATGCAGTACGTCTGACATAGCTTTAGAGTCTTATCTGAAAACACAGGCATTATGATGTTGGAAGCATCGTAGAGATAACATGAATGAGCAATGCACGACATAGTACGATAAGACGCAATATGCCACTGAATGCTTGACTAGTGCACACAATAATTTTTTTTAAACTATGGAGCAATAATTTGCTCCATAGTTAATGAAACCTCAGGATGAACATAAACAGAACAATGAGAACATCCTAAGCTAACGTAACTCCGCACCTTTGTACCAGTGAGGTCGTGTTAAAGGCAATTCAAAACCTAAATGAGTATGGGATCAATAAAGAGAGTCAAAATAGAACCATTTTTGCTTTACAATTGATCGAAATAGGTAATAAGTTCAATGAAAATTATTTAGATTGTGAGCAACATACTATAAGCATTGTACGGGTGAGTGGAATCGCAACCGGAAACAAATTTTTTCGTATTCTAGCATTTGTCCGTAAGTAATTTAATCTTAATTCTAAAAAAAACTTGTGGGTAAAAGCTAGTGGAATAAATTAAACATTCAGAATGAATTCTTTTCACAGTATTATATACAAAACTTCATGATATTCCAACAGAATTCTGTAATAAAACTACCAAATTTGTTTTCAATGTCAGAAAAGTCTTGGCGAATGACACGCAATAGCACGTCATTCCATTTAAAAACTATTGCACGACGATCAGCGCTGAACAGATTAAAATTGAATCTTTGAACAACAGCGTCGATCTTGTTACACAAAAATTCGACTAAAATTTATAACAATAAGCGATTCACCATCAATTTCCTAATAAGGATACAAATGCCCTCGTTGAAATGATAAATCAATGCTAGAAATTCATGGCAATTTTCACATATCACTCACTAACTTTTAAAGCTTATAAGTGTATTTAGTCCAGAAGCAAGACGGAGATGATGGATTTGAAATAAAGATTGCAGAAAGCAGCGATAGAGGTTACAAATATCTACTGATGCCTTTTGAATTTCTCTAAATCGGATTCAGCGTTGCGATGCATTACTCTCACCATTCAAGACTCAATTCACATATATGAGCTACTCACCGACCAATTCATATGTGTTACATGCCATTAATAATTCTACCACATTACGATCATATTTTATAGTAATTTTTCTCTGCGTTTTTATTCTCAAATGATGGCATATTACGGTTCGAGGTAAGCTGAAGGAAATAATCTACACACTCAAAATTCGGACCAACGTCGTTCCGAACAAATTGCTACGCTTATGAGCAAGTGCAAAGAAGGTATGTGGGACATTAAGATAATTTTATCGTTGCTTAGGAATGTATTGTTAACCATGCAAGGTGTAGATTTACGTAGGCACATCTGCATTCCTCGTTCCGGGAATATGGTTCTCATCTCCAGGCTTGTACAGAGGGTTGGCTTCTCGTGGGCGAACTGCAAAAGGGATGGTATGATGAAATAAGATTTTATTCAAAATGGTATCTGGTTTGTTTTTTCGCGCTAATTTTATTCTGGTTTGAATGGTCAAGACAGAATAATATACTTCAGTATATGCATTACAATCTATGTTTAAATAAACTTGAGACTTTGTTTTGGTAGTCATGATGCAATTCTTATGGAAAATTTGATGAATTTGCAGCGATGTAGTATAAAATGTATACTACCAATGAGGACTATTAGAGAAGGATAATTGTTTTTAATATCAAATTTGTATACTCTTTGCATTCTTAGCGCGAAGCTAATTTGTGATATTCTCATGACAATAGAAGTACAGAATTTAGTATGCTTTAGATTTCACCAAATGTCTTTTAGCGGAAAAGTGTTAATGCGACCACATTGTTATTGCTTGGTTAATTTAATGGAATACTGAGTTAGGCATTAAATTTTCATCTTATTGTCATATTTTTATGTATTTTCATAGCCAAACTTATTTAAGTTTGACCGAGTTTCCACGAGTAAGAAAATACTCCCATCATTTACCATGTTTTATCTCTCACCTTCTTAAACATTTGTCTATCGCTATCGGCTAATCTTTTGCGCGCTATTTACTAAATCACAGGTGAAGTGTCTCACAATTTAGCTTCTTGATTGATGACCATAAACATGTGTCCATAGTCACCATCCAGCTTCTGAAGCCTCACTTACTCAGCCACATGTCCTTAGTCACCATTCAGCTTCTGATGCATCACTTACTCAGCCACATGTCCATAGTCTCCATTCAGCTTCTGAAGCCTCACTTACTCAGCCACATGTCCATAGTCTCCATTCAGCTTCTGATGCATCACTTACTCAGCCACATGTCCTTAGTCACCATTCAGCTTCTGAAGCCTCACTTACTCAGCCACATGTCCTTAGTCACCATTCAGCTTCTGAAGCCTCACTTACTCAGCCACATGTCCATAGTCTCCATTCAGCTTCTGATGCATCACTTACTCAGGCAGGTGTCCTTATAAATTTTTATGTCGTCGATGGCAAAGCCCCCGTTGCTGGCCATCCCTTCGAACGTAATTCGGAAGTCGTTTGATGCCGGGATTGGAACTTGCGCAAATTTCCACTCCGGACGAGCTTGAAGGCCCGCCAAAACCTCCAATTTCCATAACTGGGCAAAAGAAATTATTTTGTTAGCACAAATCGCTTAAGATTTTTTGATTTACGACAATTTTGAAATTATCTCGAAGAATCTTGTCCGATCTGTTTTGTACCGCAGTCGCACTGATAGCTTACAACACTATTGAAAACCTGTGTACAAAAACATTAAGAATTTTCTGTGAATGATAAAGATCATTTTATGCAACTACGCACTTATTTAGCTACACACAAACCGGCAGAGAAGGCAGTAATAATTATGAAACACTTCCGAAACCATTAAATGTTTATTTGCCCGGTGACGCACAAGAATAAATAATTCGTCTATCTCGTGTGACCACCATCCATCCCCATCTCAAATGGCCGGGCCGGCCTAGCAGCCTAAAGCGGCGTGCGTTGTGCTCCAAAAGAGTTTCGTTTGTCAACAGCGCTGCATAACTGCGAGCGCCACGACCAACATGCCGCAGTCGGAAACAAAGGACACGCTAAAAGGAATGTAAATTACTATACAGATATCCATAAAGTACAAAAAACGACTAAATGGTAAGTGAAATTGTATGTTTTAACTATGTTGAGGAAAACTTTATTTGTTTCATACTTTTAGAAGTAATATTGATATCTTTCAAACAAAGAAAATTGCACAATCACTTTATTCCAGGGGTGACTGAGAGAATGTTGGTTTCATGGGAATAGTACAAGCGGTGGCAGGTGGGTATTCAAAAAGTTTGAACTGACGTTCCATTAACGGTTATTGAAGAAAAACTATGACAATTGACCGCAAAAATATGAAATATTACATCAAAATGTACGTGTTTAATTGCAAGTTGGACAATTTATAACATTTTGCCAATGATTTTGCAATTTTGGAGCAGTGAGTAGCAGTGAGTTACAACTCACAAGTGATTTGTGAGTTCGAGACCGCAACAAGCTGCGAATGTTCTGCCATGTTAATAATCGGCGACAGGCCTACGGCCTAATAAATGCTGAAACAGCAATGCTTTGCTATGACATGTACTGCCTTGACTATAAATTGTTTGAGGCTTAGATTTGGGGTGAGGTTGCTTTCATGAATTGAGGAATATTGAACATCGTTCGTTTAATTTATATACTACAACATGAATGATTTATTTTAGAGATAATTAATGCCCATTTAAATAAGATGAGGCCTGTTATATTTGCTTTGAGAGCTGTGTATGGTGTATGAAGTAACGGATCACAAAATTTAGTTTTCAAATTCACTTTATTTTAATTATTTGAATCGTATCTCTAACAGCCTTTTTTCAACAATTTATTTGATTTAATGTTTTCAGAAGTTCTATTGTCACTTAGTGTGCTAAACTAATTTTTCGGTTAATTGGAGCCGGTTTTTCATTATGAAAATTTATAATGATATGGGCTCACACAATCAGACTATTTTCAAGATATAACTTCTTATCAAAGCTCACAATGACTTCAAAGCAGTCGAAAGCGCTGTATATAACAGCGGAAAATAAAAAAATAAGCCAACATAGAGGCACTCAAACGCCTGTCCGCGAACTTTTTTTCCACTCTATCAGAATGGTATGTTATTTTTTGCCAGACATCACGAGAACACCGTACAGAGGATATAAAAACATCAGAAGATTATAGGAAACCATTGCTAGAACGGAGTTCAATAATCATAAATAAAATAATACTTGCAATGAAATAAAAAATATTAATAATTAATATGAATAGTGTAAACCATAAGAAGTGACAAAACATTTACGCGACAAAGAATAACTCCTGTTTACCACTCGAAGTACTCACCGTTTCTCCTGTGATGGAGTCGGTGGAGTCAGGCAGGACTTGGAGCACCTTGAGTGAAGTGGTGGAGCCCGAGCCAAAAGCCGCGTACCAGAAGCTGAAGCAAACAGTCTGTCCGCGCAGCACCGGCGACGTTAGACGCAGCGATTGTGGGTTTGCGTTCTGGTTGAACACGTCGAAGAAAACGTAGCCAACTGCAAATGAAAAATTTAAATAGAAGTTATATCAAGATGCTAAATTAACGGCAAATGAACATTGGATGATGCTGCTGAACGAGCAAGAGTAACCAAGTTCTCTAAAAAATCATGCAAATAATCTTGTGACTTAATAGTTTGACACAGAGAAGAAGAAATTTAACGAATAAATAAAGCGTGTTCAAGCATGATACGAATCCAATGTTATAAAACAATATATTTTTGAATTGTGCAAGAAGATTCATTTAATGACAAAGAAATAAAGTTTGGATGCGAGCTACGTTCGTGTTTCAAACTTTTAGGGTAGAAAAAAAACTCAAACTCAAAAATTCAACACAAGTAGTTAACGCTGCTAATGAATGAAGCTATACGATCGTACAGGTAGCCAAAGGTTCAATGCATATAGTAATGCTATTATTATACCATTTTTAATAACCCCTCATTCATTTAATAATTTTTTATTGTCTAACAAGTTCAGCCACGCAGATTAACAAGACGCAGATAAAATGACGTACGAGGTCCCCCGAAGGTGTGGTCGAGTATAGAAGTGGGGCGGCGGGCGATGGATGCATAGGACCACCTAAAGTCGGGGTCAGTAGTCGTGTTGACCCAGCGGCATGAGTCGCGTTGGAAGTCGCAGTCGCCGACCATAACCGTTGCTTTGGGCGGTAAGGCTGCAGGAAAAACGCAAAATGGCTACGAAACAGAATAATTGTGCCTCAATGTACTTAGACGGCGAGGGAAATGATTTAGCCATACGGAAGATGGTATAAATACCAAATAAAATTTAGTGATTTGTTTAATTCGGTGCCAACAGCATAATGTTGCTGAACGTGACATTGTTACTTATGCGTGGGACGAAAAATCCCGAAAAATTTTTGTTCGTCAACGTAACATGCTTTTTAGCTGATGCTAATAGAGCTTTACTTCGTACAATGTACAGTCAATCACAATTGGCATGTAAATGAACCCAATAAATTTACAGCCCTTGAACGTAAAGAAGTGACGTAGTTACCATGTATTCGCGACTTTTTTATATGTAACTCACTTGTACATTCACCAATAGGAGCATCAGTGTATCCTCAATATTACTAAACTCGTGGTCAACACAAGGCTTCACTCACTTGAACAATCACCCGAGTAGATTGTGATGTCGTCAATGCCGATGAATCCGTTGCCCCTGGAGTTTCCCCACGCCCCTTCGAAGATGATGGCGTAGCTGGTCTCGCTCAGCACCCTAGCTTGGGCATAGAGCCAGTTGGGGCCTTGGTGGTTCATCAAAGACCACACGGACTGGAATATTACGTTTCCTGTTTTTGGGTCTTCGCTCCACACGAAGACAGAGAGTGAACCAAGAGACGGTGCTGATGGTTCGTTCGTGGGGTCAGAGATGTAGTACCTGGTAGGAGAACGAAATTGACTTCAGTTCTGTAAGTCTGGTAAAATGAGCAGTCCCAGCTTCAAATGTTTCTTTATTGTCTAAAGGTACTTCGGGGATAGCATGAAATGGAAATTGCATTCAGGGTGGGCAGTTCTCACCAGAACGAGATGCAGGAGGCGATGGTGGAGCCGTTCATTGTAAGGGAACGCAGCCAAGCGCGGTCACCTCCCCTCAGCGAGGAAGTTTTGGGGACAATCATGAAGAATCCTGTCGTCATAATCTTCTTCTTACCAGCTCATTAATAAATTTTGCTAATTATTAAAAAATTTAGGCATCATAGATATTTTTTAACTTTCTCAAACGAATTTCGGTTTAGAATTTGCGTATGAAACCTCCGTGAATGAAATATTTCTAACCATTAATACCATTAGATTCAATATTTTCGACTTGTGATAAAACGTTATACCACACTTCGTGGGAATAATCCTCTTCTTATATTTCACCTTGGGGCGTGCCGATGGTGTGATCTGTTTTGGGCTCCCGGTTTTCGGATGCAATGGTGCGGACCCAGTCGATCTCATCCAGACGATCTCTGACACCAGGGTTAATCCATCCACACTCATCCACTTCAAATGTACAGTCGCCCAGGTTATTTCCAGCTATCTGTGGTGCACCTATGAAATGATGAAGGTGTTGAGGACTTGGGACATTTTCTATTTGGCACCTGCACCGTAGAGAGTACTACTTTATCTTACATTTTGAGCAAAACTATTTCTTTACTTCCGTAGGCACAGCTTGATTACTTTTGACGTAAGAATGCAAAATAATCCATTTATGATAAAAAACTTGGAGTATAGCATTAAAAAAGTAAAAAAAACTAAAATTGAAATGTATAGTATATATTAATTGTATAGTAGTAAAATTGAAATGTATATTTATATTTATTTTAATTAAAAAAATTTTAATTATTATTTCTGATGATCAAATCTTGAATTGTCATAGGCAGCAAAAGCAGCATGCCAAATTTCAAGTTTCTAGGATGTTCAGAAGAGCTCTAAATTAAGGTCTGAATTTTTGATGACAGACAGACAGACACGAAACGAAGCTAAGAGAAACGTGGTAAAAAATATTAAAATTGTTATAATTTGGATGTATTTGGCTCACTATACTCACTGGGGCACGGTCCTTGGATGATGGAGATGTCATCCAGGGCGATGTCACCGAGATCGCTCAGCCCAACTTCAGCTTCGAATGCGATCTGAGCGAAGGAAGGTTCATCAAAATATTGTCAGCAATCTCATTACGATAGACAAATGAATTTGTTCAATATTTTTTGTATGAAAATTGGACTAATATTTATCACACAATAAAATATGAAAACGATTCCAGAAAGTGAAGAATGATTAAGAATTTCCAAGATGTTTTCCATCACGACATGTTAATTCCAATTACGCATGGATTTAAATACAGAGTTTAACTTAATTAAATAGGTCGAAGTAAATAATATTTAGTCTCAGAAGTTATGAATGTTACACTGACTTTGGAAATTATCGTTTTATTATAATAAATATAGCACGAGAATAAATATTTTTTATTTTTTTTCCCGGGTTATTTGAAGTAAAGTTTCTCTGAATCTCTACTAAAAAGGTCGAGTTTGATAAAATCCTGCATTAATATTAATAATATTGAAACCTCAAAAAACAGCTTTGATATTTTATACAGAAACAATCCTCAACTTCAAATTCAATATAGATAGCTCGCCCATAGCTCTAACGTTAATTTTGACACACTTCTCTCACCCCGCAAGACTTCATTTTGACACACTGTCTAGCGTTATGATCTAATTTAACACCTGCACCGGCTACATGGACTTCATTTTGACACGCTGCTTTCACTTCATCTTTATCACACACACTGCTGTTTATCACCTTGAACGGGGTTGCAGATGCAATGGGAACTTGTCCTTGATACCAGATTTTGCCAGCCTCCCCGGAAATTTGCCAAATTGTGCGGGCTTTGCGGTCCTGAGTGTTGATGATGAGTACACGCAGCGTCCCAATGCCCACCCCATGCATGTGTGTCCAGAAGCGCATGCACAGCGGGCTGTTCGGGTCTGATAAGGTAACGCGATAATATAACTTTTTTACATATGGTGATCGGTAGACGGATCACAATAAATCATGTAGTTTTGATGGTAAAAATAAAATGCAAAAAATAATTTGAATAAACTTAATGTTTCAATAAATTACCATAAATTAAGTATGAATTTTTATCTCACCAGTCGCTTGGAACTCCTCCGTCATGAGGCGCGCGCGGTCACCCGGTCGGCGCGGGTAGCTGGAGTCGATGACGGCAAAACCGCCCGTCATGCCGCCGTTCTCAGACGCCGACCTGTCCCTAGGGGGACCCGTGGCCTGGCTCATGCTGCCGCGACTCTGGTGTCAAAGTTACTGAAGAGTTACGACAGGTTGAACAAGTAATAATCAGTAGCGTAATTGGTAAACTCGATGAGAACGAATTTCATAGGGAAATATGTCAACATTGTAAAGCATTTTTCAAGAACAAAATATACGTCATCAGCGTTTATTTTGTAGTAACCGTTAATGGGGATAAAAGTAACCGCTAATGGGGAAATTTAACACCTGAGACCAGTCGAAGTCATCAGTTTCTTTATCTTGAACCCAGCCACAAGTGCCAGCTTCAAAGGTACAGAACGCCCCGCACTCGCTGGGCAGGGCGAAGTTCAGATCATCGATGGCGATGTATCCACGGAAGCGTCGGTTGAGATCTCCGTTGGGGACAGGGATGCCTTCCACTATGATCTGGCAATAACAATGAAAGTATATTATTTGAATGATTTGGGAGATGTGAAGTCTTTGGAAACCATGAAACAGTCAATTTTGCGTTAAGAACGAACTTAAGCAACAACTTCAATTATTTGTTGCCAGCATACGAACAGTCTGCAAAATTTTATCTCGTGAACTTTCATAACGGCGTTAGGTATTCTGTCAGGTAAATTAACTGATAAGATACAGGAAAGCATAAATGCTTTTCTTCTATAAATTTCACTAGGTTGACGATAAATGGTATCCTTGTATTGCCCAGGTTAAAGTATACAGGAAAAGTGGTACTCACGGCATGAGGAAGGTTGTAAGTGTACACAAGCTGTCCTTCTTTCCACTGCCCCTGCGTGACATCTCTTGCTTCCCACAGCACCACGTCGCCGCTACCATCGTAGTCACGCAGCATGTCAAGCATTGAGAAAAAGTTGTTCGGGTTCTGTGGGTTAACGCATTGCTGTTGTGTTCCAGTTGGAATGTTAGTGTTTGTGTTCGTGCCGGTGCTCGGGTTTGTGCTCGGGTTTGTGGCCAGGTCAGGGTTGACGTTGGTGGTGCCAGTGTGCGGTCGCACAAACTTGGCATTTGGCATCGGGTGAAGTAGAACCCGAACTCGGTCCGCGCTCAGCCCATCGATAGCATACCTGGATAATAAGCATAGAATTGGGTTCATTGTACAATCAGCATTCAAAAATGCCTATCGTAAGACGTCACCATGTATTCCAATAAAGGGCATGATTTTTTAGAAAATTTGATTCATGATGTGGCAAACTTCGAATATAATCTAGAACCTTATAAGTAAATTTGAATAGATGATGGAAGCTTTGAAGGAGCAGTTGATCATCCGAAGTAAAGAAATTTTTATTTGTTAATCTTTTATTATGATTCGACGTTGGAACTTTAGTTTCGTTGAAAATTATGCAACTCAAACTCAAAATTTTACATTTTTAAGTTCATAGATAACTTAGACTCACCAATACTTGACACACACTCCTTCAGCTCGAGTTACACCTGCGAGGCAAAAATGGGGTATTATTTAAATATTTTTTCCCGCTTAACTTATCATGTCATAATAAAGGTACGAAAGAATAATCAGTCTGACAAAAAATGGTTTTGCATCAATATATGTTTCAATCATCCTGTTACTATCCCCGTCGGCAATGTATGAATAATTCCGAACAATCGCGTCTTTAATAAGAATGTCACGACAAATATTCCCTGCGTGGCAAATATTTTGTTAATTGACTATTAAAGCGCCACTTTAAATGACGCAACATCAGAACCTATGGCTATAAGATCTAATAAATCCCGGTTTGAGTTCATTAATTAGTTTATGAGTTCATAGCTCTAAATCCCAACAAGTCATGTGGACCAGACGGCTTCCATCCCAGATTGCTCAAAGAATTATAGCAGCCGCTCTGGCCGGCCCATTGACAGTATATTAAGGAACTTTGCCGTCCGATTGGAAAGAAGCTCAAGTAACACCATTGTTCAAAAAATATAACTCAGTACTCACTGTAGTGAGTGACAGAGAGCGCATTTTCTCGTCGACAAAAACGTGAAGTCACAGACGGACAGACAGACGTCTGCCCGACGGACAGACGGACAGACGAACGGACATGACAAGTACAATAGGCATTTTTTCCACAAATTAGAAAATGCGCTAAAAAGGTGACAAAAGTAGCCCCGGTAACTATCGTCCTGTCAGTCTGACAAGTGTTGTTTATAAGGTAATGGAATCTGTTGTGAGGGATAGGACTATCGCTTACTTGACTATTCACCATCTCCTTTCAGACTGTCAACATGGTTTTATTGCCGGTAGATCCTGCACCACTAACTTATTGTCTACGCGTAACGATTGAACTCGCCTGCTGGACGAAAGGGAGTCAGTGGATGCATTGTACCTCGATTTTGCCAAAGCATTTGACAGTGTTCCGCATGAGCGGCTGTTGCGTAAAGTGAGGTCCTTGGGAATTGAGGGAAACGTACTCCAATGGATCATGAATTTTCTAGTAGGTAGACCACAACGTGTCAGTACTAACGGAACCGTGTTAGACTGGGCATCAGTGCGCAGTGGCGTGCCACAAGGAAGCGTTCTTGGGCCTATTTTGTTCGTTGCTTTTATATAAACGATCTGTCAGAAGTAGTGTCCAGCGTGTGCTCCATGTATGCCGACGACACAAAAGTTTATAATACTGTGAAGGATGCGTCAAATAAAGCGCAATTGCAAGATGATCTTGACAGTTTAGTTAACTGGGCTGATACGTGGCAGCTGCGGTTTAATGCTGACAAGTGTAAAGTACTTCACCTCGGGAAGAACAATGAACAGCAAGATTACAGTATGAGAAGACATGGTTGCAACGAGAGAGTAATGATTGAAAAGTCTAGTGTGGGAAAAGAACTCGGAGTTTATGTCGACAAGGAGCTGAAATTTTCTAAGCATGTTGAAACGCAAGGTAATACATCCAACAAACTTCTTGGACTAATCAGTCGCTCCTACGAGTTTTTAGATGCAGAAGCGATGAAACAGTTGTTTGTTGCTGTCGTGCACCCGAATATAGAGTTTGGAAACGTTGTGTGGTCACCGAGATTTGAAAAGGGCAAAAATTTAACAGAATGTTCAGAGGCGTGCAACAAGGATAATTCCAGGCTTGAAGGGCAAGTCTTATGAAGAAAGATTAAAGATTATAAAGCTTCCAAGCCTCACTTATTGACGTCGGCTTGGAGACCTCATTGAAGTATACAAGTATAGTCATGGTTTATACAAGGTCCCCGAAGGATTACTAGAATTTGAAACTAGAACCAACACCAAGGGCCACTGCTATAAACTAAAAAAACTGCGCTGCAACTTCTCCACGCGACAACATTTCTTCTCGCTTCGAATCACCGACATGTGGAACAGCCTCCCCGATTACGTCGTTGGCGCTCCGAGTATCAACGCTTTCAAGAACAGACTAGATAAAGCTATGGAAAAATATATGTTCAGACTTGAAATGCCTAGCACTATATCGAACCCGGTGGAAGTCTAGTAGCTACTTCAAACTATCGTCAATCCTGAAATGATCCGGTCAAATGACACGATTTTAGATCTTCTTTGAACAAGTCACGAAAAGTAACAGGCCGCATCAGCCCTACACATCAGCGTCGACATCACTATGTTAATTGATTTCAATTGAAGTCCTTGCAGTTGGGAACCCACCTTGGAGGGGCGAGATGAGCATCGCTGACTCGAACGGTACTGGGCCTCGAGTCGAGTCCGCTTCTTCTGAAGTTTCGAAGAGAGCGTAGCCTCCTGTGGAGAAAGGATGTTTTTCATATAAACTATTAGGAAAATAAGTAAGGCTGTACTAAGTAAATATGATTAAGAAAACTTCGTGCGACATCGCTTCCGAAAGCTTTCCTGCACTCACCCTGTTGAATGGCACTCGATATTTTAATTTCATTTCCCATTAGTAAATTAAGAAGTTTTAGTTTGCTCGTTCAGCTAATATTTTGCAGGCATTCTATGTTATATTTACACTTTATATTCTGAGAATTCTGGACTGCAAATTAAGCAACCATTGAAATGTGGTGACGCCGAATGTCCATTGGCCCACTATAAGACGTTGCGAACATTATTTCTTTGGCTCCAAGTCCGCGCCCTGATTCATCTTATGATAGTTTACACATGGTAATAGAGAAATTTTTGGGTACTGGATGATATCGGAAATGCTCGGTGCATAATTATGTTGCTTGAAGCTGCCGTAGGATTTATTGCACTTAGCGACTCACTAGATTAACTTGTTCACGTGCAGTTGCAGTGATCAACTCAATAAACTTCTATCGGCAGTTACAACTATTAACTCACCAAGCTTGTCCAGGTGCAGTTGAAATAATCAACTCACCATTTAGATCTATCCCGTGCAGTTGAGGTGATTAACTCACCAAACTTGTCTCCGTAGGTGACATCCTGAGGTGGGCCTCCTAACCAGAACGCATTCTCCCCCCGCGACGCGCGCCACTTCAGAGTCGTAAAGTTCACGTTCATCCAGCGGCATAGAACTACGTCCTCGTTGGTGCCGAAATCGCAGGTCTCTGTTCAGAAATTCAGAAAAAAACATAAAAAACTTACTAGAGGTTATCAAAATGCACGAGGAAACGTCGCAGCCCGAATAAATTACGAATAGAAAATTATGCAGAGAAAATCTAATATTATGCAATTTTGCTTGTGATTTTCTTCGTTTCATTGTAATGGAAATTTGAAAATTATTAGTGATATCTTGGAGGTGATAAGGTTTGGTTAGCATTGGTAACTTGGTTCAAAAATTTACATTAGGAAACATTTTTATTTCTCATGTTAGCGAGATGACGTTATGAAAAGTGATCCGCTTATTGATCATTCCACGTTAAACATTGAATATAAACTTAGATTAAGATCTAAAATGTTAGTACGGACACCTATAGTTTCGGAAACCTCGGTTAAATGTTATTCACAGCCAGCTCGGAAGAAGAAGAAGGTCGCAATGAGGATGAGCCTGAGTAAAAACTTTCAGTGAATCATGGGATGCGCACCTGGAGGCGGGATATTAATATGCGACTCCTGTCCCTAACAAAAATTGGATATGGGCCTGACTCTGCAACAGGTGCCGCCTTGGACTCGTAGAGCAGGCAAATCAGCCGCTCTATGGCCCCTTCGGTTGGGCTCGAAGAGCAGCTTCTTAGCAGCCTTCAATCTCGGTATGAACCGGCTCCTGTCAACTCTTGTAAAGTTGTAATACTCTCATAACACTATAAGTCAGAAATGAGATTCTGATAAGAAATTGATTTTGATTGTGTGGCCAAGTAGACCCAGAAAACTTGATGTTTACCAGAACATCAAGTTCTGTTAAAACATGGACAGAATTCTAGGTTTTGCCCGCGATTTGGGGGAGGTAAAGTTCATTAGCTAGAAAGCTCTAGACAATCTTGATTTTCCGAATATCTTATACACTATCAAATTAAACTGTGAGCATCATTGACTTAGATTTATATTATATCAAGATTCTTGCGTTTTTATCAAAGCTGTTATACAATTATTCACTTGTATAACAGCGTTGTGGTGGCATAGTCATAAATACTGGAGATGGAAAAGCTGTAATACTGTGTGATCACAAAGAACCAAATACATAACTAAGCTCTAAAAGCACAACGCTTAATTAAAAAATGTGGCTACGCAGCACAAGAGCAAGAGTTCGAACATCAAATTGAATGACTCGATAATTATACGATAACTCTACAATACATTGTTGACAAATGTGAAAAGAGTACTCGTCACAATAGCGATAAAAGCAGTACAAATTGTTATATGCGGTGAACACGGATGACTCAGTCGTCAATTGTGTTGAGGAAAATGATAACATATGCTCAGCTCCATGTCAGTTCAGGTGTAGGAGCACCGCCGGTCGTATACACAGCCATGCACCGACGACAGCGTCAATAAGGTCAATAAAAATACGAGAAGAGAAGTACAGATGTAATATTGGCAAGGAAGGACAATCACAAACTATACAAGATGAAGTGCATATGAGGGTAATGAACAGCTCAAGTGTAATAGATCCCCTTACGCATATGCCATGCCTACCCGAACCCGAATGGTCTTATTAATCGGTCAGCGAAGAGAGGTTGGTGGCGAACTATGTATATCAACGGCTGTATTGTCTTTTTGGATATATCATGTGTTAATAGTTTCCAATTAGCTTTCATCATGAATAATTTTAACAAGAAAAATCTGACAAGGAGGAACATGTTTTCATCGAAGAAAAATATGTCTTTGCCATATGGTGCGTCACTGTTAGTCTGCAAGATGTCACAAATTAACAGACAATCGAAGAAAATTTTCAGTCGACTTTGATGTTTTTACGCATACTAGGTTTCAGATTTTCTTATATCAAATTTTAAATTTTGTTAATTAACTATAGCGATGACGAATGATTAACAAAATATTAGGTAGGAAGATCGTCAGGTGCCTCGCTCTAAACGAGACATGTTGAGACTGAAGAACACCAAGTAGCACGTCAACATTTCGATGAGAGTCACCATAAGCAGTAACTTGTCTGAAAAGGAAACAGAGTATGAAGAGTGAAGCAATATAGTTTTGTTACGGTGTATCTTTCACAAGGCGCAAAAAGCAAAGCACCGTTACTGTACTGAGTTTATACGTAACACATACGAGGATTCAGCTACCAAAGTAAATTTGCAAAGGTAAATGCCTAAAGAAAAGTAAACATCAGCATCAAAATGCGATTGCATATATAGTACAGCAATGCAACGCAAAACAACTAATAATGTGATATTGATTTCCTATACAAAAGCAACTAACAATATACGTTATGCATTAGCAAATTAGTAGAATATCAATTTGTTAATGGAGAAAGTCGTAGTGTCACACAGCAAAGATTCACAAGAAGAACAAAATCCACGCATAATACCTGGTCGAAACTCAGCATTCAATATTCGCTCCTGCGTTGCGACCAATAGAGGATGGTGGACGATTCTTGGCTCGGTTTCAGTAGTTACAGAATCAGGCTTTTTCGGCGCAGGAGTTGGCATGGGTTTCAAAGTTGGACGTATTCGTGACTCCGAAGACGCAGTTGGTCGAAATGTAGTTACGGAAGGTGATGAAGACACCAGCGCCACAGAAGGAATCGACAATGGAGGTTTGGCAGTTGTCATCGATGTAGATTTCATAGGTTGAGTAGTGAGTGAATTGTCACCACTTTGGCCTTTCAGAGTAGTAAGAAGGTCATTTGCCTCTTCTTTATGGTCAGATTCGACAAAAGTTTCTGCTGGTGATATCAATATATCAGAGACAGATTTGGCCTCTGCAGCTGTTGTTCGTGTAGCAGTGGTTTCTTGAAGGGGGTCGGTATAATCTTTGTGCGTCGATGTGGTATACGCAGTCTGCGATTCAACACTGGATTCAGTTGCTATTACTGGTTCTGTTACGAAGTTCTCATGCTCGATGTTATCGTTGAAAGTCACAAGTTCTATTGATTTAGTGGTAGATTCTACCCAATCAGCCATTGTAATTGGCAACTGGCTTTCTTCCGCGCCGGTACTATTCATGACCAAAGAGCTTTCAATAGTTTCTTCTGGTATATCAGAAGTAAGTTCAAATTCGCCTGCAGTCACTGTAGTGGCTTGATTTTCATCAAAGTAGGTAGTGTTATGCAAAGTTTGATTTTCATTTGTTACTTCTCCTTGCATTGCTGATGTTAGAGTAACATCTTCGATAGTTACGACTGTAGTGTCAGGGTTTTCACTCCCGAATGTAGTGGGACTTGAGCTCGTTCCTTCTGTAGGTCCAGTTCCAGTAGTTGATATTAGTTCCTCATTAATCGTTACGCCTGTAGAGTCCTGAATTCCTTCTCCAATTGACGTGTATTGCGTATTTAGACTCGTAGTAGTATCTTCGGTGATAGTAGAAAACTTGATGCTAACAGTTGCACCAATAGTGTCGAATGTTTCCACCTCGATTGCAGTTTGCTGCGTAGAAGGATTCATTGTCGCTTCTTCTGGTGATCTAGTAGTAGAGTGGTGCTCGTTACTAACCGATACAGTTGTAGTGTCGAGAGTTTCGATTGAAATGTCCGGCGTAATTGGACTGACAGTTGCATTTTCTGATGATCCATCGGTGAGTTGTGGCTCATCAGCTACAGTTTCCATCGTACTGTTTAGAATTTCATTGCTGGTTGCAGGTTGCTGCGTGGTGTGACGTTCCATTATTTCTTTTGGTTCAATGAAATTGTCTTCTTCCAAGCTCTCTGGAGGGAAAATTGTTGAATGTTTTTCTTTCGCAGTGTATACTTCTGTTTGTGGCAAATTAGACACTATTGCTTGCTATTTCAGCCTATTTGGTTTGTTCGGTTAGAGGTTTTTGTTTGACCGCTATTTCAGTTTCCTCTGCTGAAATTGCAGGATTAGTTACATAGTTAGGTTTATCTGCAGATGAACTCGTTCGGTCTTAGTAATATGTGACTGAATAGTGATGGGTTCTATTGTAAAAAATATCAATTTATTGACTATTGTAAGAAAAATGGATGGGGTTTTGCATAAGGCTTCACAGATCGAGATTTTAAAGGAGTGATGGATGGATGTGTAGTGTAAGTTAATGACAAATGAAGTAATTTGCTGGGGGTTAGATGAGCAACAGTTGGACGATAACATTACTTCCATCAACGTAATTATTCATTTCTATTTGCTAGTTAGTGTTAGAAGATTACGCGGCTTTTTCAAATGAAGGTGCATGGGGTTACATTTCACTTTATCCTTTTAGACTTTTCTTTTAACAATGAATTTACAGAATTCGTAACCTACAATTTCATAAAAACGTGTGACAAAAAATTACATTAAAACATTGTGACAAATAATGGTGTGGTCGGACCAGCTATCATAGTAACTTGAATTTGAACAGCACTGAAATGAAAATATTTGTTCAGTACTCAATTCGTTTTTCACCGGATCCTGCGTAAGCTCATACTTTGTAGACCAATCTATTAAATTATAAAAACTAGTTAGAGAATCATTGATCCAGCCACTCGAGAAAAATTAGAACAGGCAGTGAAAAATCAATATTTTGGTAATGATTACTTGCTGTGACTGTTAAATTTCAGCTTTGAAAATCCTAGATGAAATAGTTTTTTGAATCGAATTAGAAGCGGTACCTGATATACAGTATTTCATAAATTAGGTTTTCGTTGCACCGATCAAATAGGGGTTGTGACCGATTCTGTGTGATGATAAACCATTTACCACACAAAATCCTAATGACAGATCAGGTTGAAGCAAATAATGTGTAGAAATTGCAGTAATGATTGCCTATGGCTCTGAAATTTCCTCTCGATGATATATGAAAGAAATTGTTCTTTTTTCCTCGTATATTTGAGGAATCGGAGAGTAAGTAAAGGATTTCCTAGAAATTGTCGTCGCTGTGTGAAATTGTCGAAAGAAATTGTTGTCGCTACCACTATTGTGGTACATTGTGCTGACTGAGCCATCCATACAGAATTACAATGACCTAATGCATTTCTACAAAATTTAAAAGCAAGGACGAAATTACCTGTATTATATGATACTTTAAAATACATTCACTTGATCTCTTAAGTTAAAACCTTTTCGAGCGCACATCGTTGGGCACCTTGCTTGATGTTTATCTATTGTTACGATCGATTGATGAAGGGAACGTGACCATCCCCTGACGGAAAATCAACATGTATCTGAATCGGGTGGTTTTTAATATTCCGTTCTAAATTAACTTAACGACTCAGATAATTGTATTACTGAAATATTTAATGTGCAGACGAGTCTTAGTAAAGATTAGGTCGCTCTATTCACCCTCAGTGTGGGCATCATCAGTCACGTCAGGTGGCCAGCGAGCTTTTGAAAGTCACGGTGGCTTGCAGCTCGTGTAGGAGCTTCAAAAGACTGCGAGCAGCGGTCGAAAATGGTCGATCATTGATCGAAGGATGACCTCTGACCAAGCAACAAACTCGCCTCAACCCGGACCAGGTAGAACCAATGCTTATCAATTTTTTGGGGGTACAAGCAACTAACATTTTTGAGCACAAAATGTCATAATTTTATTTTAGTTACAATAAGTTAAACGTGAATTTATAAATTATTCTTATAAATTTCGCATTTTTTGATTTATAAACAATGCTATTCCCACATTCACATACTAGCTTTATCACAGGTGGTGAAGCTATTGAATATGGCTGAGCCACAATTATTGTTCGCCAGTGCCGGTGTACAGTATTATATTGTCTACGAATAGGACAGAATAGTTTTTTATACAGATGGGGATATAGTATATTAACTTGCCTACAGATATTGGTATGGAGTAACACATTATTTATTGATGAAGTAATATTTATTGAATATTTAATTTTCACTAAACGTGAATATTAAATATCAAAATTTAAAAAATTGGAGGCCTTGTATCATAATGCATTTATATTATTTGAATGTTGTAAATAAAAATGTTGCCTCTAATATTTATTGATGGAGTAAGACTCACCCTGTACCGGGGTGGACGGGTCCACAGTCTGGCGACGTACCCGCGACGTCTCCGGCAAGGGCGTGTCACCCTCCAGGGGCTCCATGTCCGCCTGTAGCAATGATACCAAAGAGTGAGATGTTATAAAGATAAATAAGCTCCAAATCATAACGGTATTATATCATCTTTCTTTACACAAAAGATTGCAAAAAGGTTCGCAATAATAATACATGAATAAATGAAACTTCTTATTATTAATTGCGTTTCGTTTGTACGGTTCATTCTTAACACTTTACAATTTACATTTGTACCAGAAAAGTATTGTTTTCCTTCACATTGTTTGCTGAATATTGGTCCCCAGTCTTGCTGTATGTACAGAAAAATTACATGTTCTGTCTTGAAACCGTCGTTTGCGATTGGCTGAGGTGCAAGCGAGACAACCAATCAGAGCGCTGGAAGGCTGTGGCCGCAATGAGCCATTTGAAATTTTTATGTAGGAATTTAATCAATTTAGGAGCTTAATTACTTATACTAAATCAGCCCAGCTAAGCGGCCTCGATAGACAAGCCAGTGGCATTCGGGTCTAACTTTTTTTTACACTTTTACCTTTGCGAATCGTTCATCAATTATGACTTCTAGCTTAAATTTTTCTTTTCTACGTAGGAAATGTCTGTAAATATCATTTAGAAGTATTTAAATGTATGAATAGTTTTTCAGATTAGTTTCGTTCCAATTCTGTTTCAGTCACTTAAATATCTTGATTCTTACTAACAGGCCTGAAATATTTTCTAAACGCATTTTAAGAATCTATAACTATATATCCAAAGTTAAAAACATAAAAAATCACCAGCCTAAAATTATAAATTAAACTACCGTATTTTGATAAGTGTAACTTGAATGTTGAAATATAAGAGCAATAGAAGACCGAAGAACTAAGTAATCATGCCGTAGCCGGGACCAAAAATCAACCAACCTTTGGTATATCATCTCCATATGTCTTGTCTGGTCCCCGCGGCGCAGTAATTTAATTAGTATTGAGATGACAATAATTGATTTCATTTGCTTACGTGACGCAGTCTGGCGATCGACAAAACGAAGGTCTGTTCCATCCATGTCTGCTCGTCGTAACTTTAAAGCAACTAAGTTATGAGCACAGCTATTTAGGTCTGGTATATATAGGCCTGGTATTTAGGTCTGGTATATAGGCATAGCTACAGCTCGTAATCGTCCTAAGTTTCTTGCGCTTAGTTGTGAGCACCGTAAATTCGGCAGTCTTGCTGTATGTACAGAAAAATTACATGTTCAGGGGCCATACTTTCAAAACTCGCTAAGTAAACGTAAGTACTTACGCTCTAATTTCTTGTCTATGATTGGTGGATTTTGCTTGAAAGGCCGTCAATGATTGGCTGATGAACTTACGATCTCTTAACTTTTTTTGAAAGTATGGGCCCTGGAATAAGTATTTTAAGCGAAACTTCAAATAACGACCGATGCATAACAGTCGGGAATGCCTGGCCGGCCTTGAACTGAGGATGGTTGAAGGACGCCTGCCTGACCTTGAGCTTAGGAAGCTTGTTTATAGAAATGCACCATTTACTTTTTTTTACATACCACTTGGATTTTTATACTTCAAAATCTAAGTGACTGCGCTATTATTAATGGTCGAATTGACCAGGAACTATTCTCAACTATTCTTTCATATTCTCAAAGCTATTATATTTCATACTTTTAAGCGTAAAATTTAGGTTCTTCTACGCATTTTTTTAATTTCTACAATTAAATGACAATTTTTCAACCAGCGGCAACAAATAAGTACTCTATGTTAACCAAAATTTGTTTGAATAATACCATCAGTTTGACAGTTTCTTATGTTCAAACCAACGAGGACTAAATTGAACTCATGACGAAATTTTTAAACTTAAATCCCGCTATACCTGCCTTGCCCGTGAGTCAATACACGGTGACCTGAATGGGGCTAATGCTATTGAATGAGGCTAAACCTATTTGCCAGCGCACTTAAGAGTGAGCAGTTCAGGCATCGACCGTCCGACCCACAAGAAAATCAGGTCGCTTGTTAGCGCAAGGTGATAGTGATGCTCATGCCCCGGTGACAGGTGATGGTGATGCACATGCCCTGGTGACAGGTGATGGTGATGAGTATGTCCCGGTGACAGGTGATAGTGATGCACATGCCCTGGTGATAGGTGATAGTGATGCACATGTCCCGGTGACAGGTGATAGTGATGNACATGCCCCGGTGACAGGTGATGGTGATGCACATGCCCTGGTGACAGGTGATGGTGATGCACATGCCCCGGTGACAGGTGATAGTGATGCACATGTGCCGGTGACAGGTGATAGTGATGCTCATGCCCCGGTGACAGGTGATGGTGATGCGCATGCTCCGGTGACAGGTGATGGTGAAGCACATGCCCCGGTGAATATTGTCTCCGAATTCAACTGCTACTACTCTTACTTCTACGTTTAAAAACAATATGAATGTCCTGAAAATAAGGTAGCTACGGTTCCACTACTACAAAAATTTTTATGATATAAACTAAAATAAAGCGTCCAGTGTTGCATCTTTATTTATATTAAGCAGTATCAACAGCCGAGGCCTTATTTGTTAGGTGCATGTCTCCAGATATTCAAGACGTTTACCTTCTATTCCATCCACTTACATTACAGTACAGCTATATTCCAATCCAACGATATTCCAATCCAACTACATTCCAATCCAACTATATT